TTCTTTTTCTTCGACATGCCTTACTCGTAAAACGCATTTTTTACGTCCGTTATATTTAGCATTTGGTCGTGACATGCCCAAAACATCCACAGAAAAGTATTTCATTGAACACATTTTTGCAAATGTTTCGCAAATGAAAACTATAAACGAAACTCCCAACCCAATTAGGAGGGAGAAAAATGCTCCTTGCAAATGAGATAGTGTGAGTACAGACTTCTCCACATTAAAGAAATAGCTGAGCGCTGAACGAGACTTCTTTGTCAATTCCTCCCACCACTTGTCTATAATCCCGCATTCCAACAGTCCATCAATGATGAAATCAAAATCATCCAAAAGGATACTCCACTTGGTTAACATCATTACTACCGGATAACTTAATCCATCTGGAAAGTCACTTATAAGATTTCGAGCTTCTTTTCCATATCTTACTGATATTATGTACTCCATATGAGACCGATCGATCAGTAGAGCCATGTCCCTGTTGATTGCGATGCGATCATAACACACATTTTCTCGTAGATCGCATATTTCACTCTTTGCTAGGAGTTTGTTGTAAAGCGGTTCGTTGTTTTCCCTCATTATATCCACGTAATATATTGCTAAGCCAATTGTAAGGTCGCTCTCTGCAAGTGAATTCGCATTTTGAATAACTGGCTTCATTGTAGGTTTTATAAGATAGCTCATTAAAGACGTTTGATATGCACTATTCAAAACAAAACATCCGAGAATGCATGTGAACAATCCCAAACGAGACGGTAGACTGGAAGGCTCTCGCGGAATCGTCGCATACAGCAACGCGTGAAAAACGTACATCACACGAAGTTCTTCCTTCACACTGCGATGACCTCTTCTTAGAAGCACATTGTGTGTATTCAGCACATGAAAGGTCACACCCATGAGCAGGCAAAATACACAAGTGTACACCCACAGTTTCTTTGAAAACACAAAGGCGGCACTCATCCAACGAGGATACGGTCGCGGTCCTGGAACGTACCATCTAGGTGACTCGAACATGTAACTGTGCGAGGCATCCATTTGCAAATCTGACTCTAAAGTGCGAGAAAAGGCTGCCATGTAAATATCATCAGTCTCGTATTCAACATACGGATTATCCCGAAATTCTGAAATACTAAACCCAAAGTTCAATGTATCCGCTACTGTTTTCATAATTCGAATTTCCAGTCCATCTATTCCTTTTGGATCCTGTAAAGTGCTCTGTGAATCGTTCAATATGATCATAGGTTCCCATAACAATGTTTTTGCTTTGAGAAGACATCCATGTAGATTAATTAATTTTTTAGACTCATTCATGTCTTGAAGCAGTTCGTTGGCTCCATCCGAACTGTAGATTTTTTCTACTAGTGTTTCTTGAGTGGGGCCTCCACAGTGACCTTTTACTGGGTAAGGTTGCCACCAGGTGGCGCGAAAAGACGTAGAGTTTCTTTGTGATAATACAACAGAAGAAGCGATACGTCGATACCACATTAAACGAATAATACTTAGAGGAGATGTAAGTGTATTGGACATTACAATATGAGGCACGCGAGGTGTCCATAAAGGATTTAGAATCAGTGAGTCTAAATGCGTTTCGAATACATCCTCTGGCGATGTAGTCACGTCTTGAAGAAATATTATTACTTCTCCAGCACCCGCGCCTCTAAGAGTCCAAGACACGTTAATATGTTTGTTCAATTTCACACAGCACGCAAGAGACAATACATTACTTTTCTCATGCAGTTTATTCATTGTAACATCAACTGTGCTAGACAAAAATCTTGAAAGGAATGAAGAACTATTCGTAATACTTGAGTTTGATGGATTTGTTTGCAAGTACGTAAACAATATCGGCTGGTCGTTTGATAAATTGCCGGCCAATTCAATGATTGGAAGTTTATTTAATGCGCTTTCACTAACCATAAATGGAAAAAAATTAGCTCCAAAAATTAAAGTAATACACAAAACCTTCATTGTTATTTCGCAAAACACAGACCAATGCAACAAATTGAGAGAACATGAAATATATTTCGGTCTTCGGAAAGTTGAAGTGAAGATCTCGATAATGAACTAATTCATGGGAAACATTGCCGATGAGGAAGATTGCTCGTACAATACCTTCGTGAAATCATTCATCGTGAGTTCCAAGTAATTGCTTCTCTTGTTTACTACAGCTAAAGCTCATCAAATTCTCATAATGATTTCATCTATTAGATGTTTTTGATTTACAGTGAACTGTTTTTAATTCAAACCCAAAGTAAATTGGAAAAAATATTTAGTATTAATCGACATAAGTTCTAATAATTAGACAAGAGTGAAATTATTATCCGCAGCGGTGATGTAGTTAAGAGGCAACATGCCATTAGGAATCATTGTGCATGTCAGGAAAAGGAATCAAGGAATGCAGAATTCATATAATGTTTATTGAATTCCTTCTCATGTGTTTTAATCGTTCAAATCTTTTGGGTGAATTTTTACTCTGCCCCTATTGCAATAAAATTGAGTAAACGATATGCGTTCCGTGTTCAATAAGTGTTAATTAGTCAGGGGTGGAACCAGAGACAAAATTTGGGAGGGAAAATTAAAAATGTTTGGCTCGATTGTGTTATTACAGATTTTCTGAAATGTCTCAGTTTACTCAGCTCCTGTTAAAATACGTTTTTATTAGTTTTAATGATTATCCGAAAATACTTTTGCTTAAAAGTATCGTGACAAGTGAAAAGTATCAGTTACTGAAACATTTTAGGGGGGAATTTCCTGAATTACAAGTATTAATCCGCGACTGAATTAGTTTTAGGATTGCTACAGGTATGGATTCATTTCGGCTTTTGAACTGTTTAAAGCAAAAACTAATTTAGATTATATTTAATTCTACAGTTTGAACTGAAAAATCGCAAGTCTTCTTATAGTTCTCTGAATTATTTATGACGCCAAATAGCAGGTTTTGAAAAATGTTAATATATTTGATGGCATAAGTAAGTCATCTGAGATATTAAAGGGGAGAGGTACGCAATATGAACTGAGGATTTCTGTAGGCAGCTGACGTCTCGGCATAAATGGACCAGCGCCAATAGAGAGGGACGTTGTGTAGCAGCCGCAACTTTGGCGGAGTCTACACCAGGAGCTCTCCAAGCGAACAATGTGCCTGTTTTAAACTTGATGACCGCGAATACCAGTAGGAGTTGGCAGGACTACGCATATCTCCTGAGAGATACGCAAGCGTATCTCAAATTAGGAAAACAAGACACACCCTTGACGAAGGTCCTTTCCCTAAGAATGCAAAGGGTGTGTTTGTGACGAAGGGAAAACAGTAAACAGAGGAAGAGTAAATTTTGTATTTTAGATTAGTAATTACATGCGTATTTTTATTTTAAAACTGTAAAAAAATTATTGAAATTTTATTTTGAATTAAATTTAAGTATTTATTAGAATGTTGAGGCTGAAAAGAGTACAATTGTATTTTAAAATAAATATTTAAATATATAATTAACTTTCTTCATATTACATTTATGGAATAAATTTGTCGATTTGGACTTAGAAACACGAACAATTACGAACTAGTGTGACTTGTATAGTCTTTCTCGAACTACGTAGTTTTCTAATCTGGTCAGGGGTAGCTTATCGGTATTTCTCCATCATCTTCTTAGCCGCTACCTCTCGACATTTAAAAGTTTTTTTTAAAAATTTTCTCAATTTTTCAGTCTCCTAATAGCGAGTAAAATACATGTATGACTTGATGAATATTATAGAAGAGTAAAAGCTGGTTCTTCAGTAAATTATGATTGAAACATTTAGAGCCTTTCTTGAGAAAATGCCGATTGATCGTTTCTCAAAATGCGCAGATTTGAGCTCAACTTCACAGAAAACTTTTGAGTTTTCGAGCAACTTCATAACAAATCATTCGAAGCACTTCAACACACAAATGGAAAACATTTTTAAAACATTAGGTAAACAATTGTAATTATGTAAGTGTGCAAATATTTAAGTGGTTTGGTGGAAGAAATATATATAATAAAATCAGTATTAAAGAACACTGGCAATAAAATATCGTGTCAATAATATTCTTGAGAAGTAATATATATTATGAAGAAAAATCACTAAAATTAACATTCACAAAATGTTAAAACTATTATAAATGTGACCAGAAAGGGCGATACCAAACTCTTAGAAATTATAAATGAATGCAGAAAAACTGGCAGAATCGATATGAAAAAGCGTGACAACTTAAATTTGATTTGAATGAACATGAGGTTGCTGCTACTCCTAAATGCTAGATATTCCCACTTCTTAATGTTTTCTCGGCATTTTTGCAATTGAAGAGTAAAAGGAAGCTTGTATTCTAGTTGTATTCAGGTAGCAACCTGAGAGAGCAGAGGATCTCGGAGATTCTCTTAAGCAGCTTGAAATAATCAAATACAAGTAATGACAAAGTAAAGCATCGGAAAATTGAGAAGGTGACAGCTCAGAGAGGTAAAAGCTTCGCTGAAAAATCTAGTGTTATTAAATCCTTCGGATGAAGAAGGCGAAAGCTGCCAACAAAACATCTGGCGTTCTTAATTTAAACCCTGAACGAAACAAAGGAATATCCCTTCCGAGCTCCGTAATTTATAAGGCCATTAGCGTCGAAGGGCTCGCTTATAATATTGCAAATACAGTATAACAGAAGTGACACGGCAGAAACCAGTTATACCTGATCCAAAATGGTCCGTCGGGAGAAATTACCGATCTAAAAGAAACAAGCTATACTTATTTTTGCATCAGATTAGAGACTGGACGATGACGACGACGCGCACGTAGAGTCTAGTTCTAGCAAATATCCGCTTTTCGCCTTATAGTCCATTTTTAATGCAGTGTTTCGCGGTTTGTTCGAAGGTAAAATTAGCAAAGCGTCGTGAGAAGTGCGCTCGCGGCGAAGGTGCGTTCAGTTGGACGTCGGCAGGCGAGCGGCAGACAGAAGAAGTACAGGACACACCCAGGCTCACCCGCACCAACTCGGCTCCGGCACAATGGCGGTAGGTGCGACCACCACCCCCCGCCCCCCACGCCCTCGGGCACGGCGCCGCGGGCCGGGCCAGAGGCGCTGGCAGCCGGTCACGGTGGGGGACCCTACGGCACGCCCCGGCTGCACCGCGCTGACGGACGGCCGCGGCCGCGGCGCCGCTGGCCCCGCGCGCGTCGCGCTCGACAGAAGGACGCGTTGTGCGAGGACGCGTGTGACACGGGACGAGGGAACAGTGCGCGCCGGAAGAGGTGCACGTCCAACGAAAGAGAGACCAACAACGCGGGGTTCTTGTTGAAAGGAAAAGACAGCGAAAGATGAATACACCAATCGTTTGCACGGCAGTGGAGAGTTGATGAAATAAAGTTGTAGCACCGTTTCAAATTTAGGATCATTTCTATCTGGACAGTGGCGAGGCCTGATTGGAGTCAAATGTTATGTTTATAAAACAACCACATTTTCGAAATATGAATAACAAAATTTGATTTAAAGTGATACGGGGGTTTCATACCTTTTCTCCTCAAACTATGTTAACAAAACCTTCCTAAAGAATTTTCTAATGAAAATTACATCGACTAGATTATTTTAATAAAGAGATATCGACATTTAATTAATACTTCTAACTTTCATAAAATCAGGAGTCGAGAAGGTCAAAATGGAAATCCATACGTCGTTAATTTTTCGGTTAAACAATTCGGACTCATGAATAAAGGAGTTAGTCGTTTCTTAGGGTTACGTCGTGACGAAGCCACGAGATTACGTTTGTCCCGAGGAGAGTGACATCAACAGGTGCTTCTTTCTTCTCTTGGCTTTAACTTCTAAATGAGGAGGGGGATTGTGTGAATGTAGAAAATAATAAATTTGTACGACGGTCAGCCATTGACGATTACTTACACCGAAATGAGGGTTGTGGTGCAATGGTTTTTAGAAAGAGGAGAAAACGAGAAAATGGGAAAAGATGTCATATTAGTACGCTTCATTAATTTCTTTTTAGAACTTCGCATGCATTAACTATTTGCAATTCATTACGTCTGAATGATTTCAAACAGAACAACTACATAAATGAATTTGGCTTTTAACGCTGAGAAATATTTATGAAAGTTATAATAGGTAATTTGTGAACATTTATTTAAGAGTGTTTATATTTATATAATGATGTTAAGATTGCATACCACTTTGACCATTGATACTATTTACAGTAGTAGGAGAACTTATCTCCATTTAAGAACGAAGTAATCTGAGAATGCAAGTGATATTTGGCAATGAGAAAAAATCCATTACATACTACGTTGTGTTCTATTAATCGAATGTTCTTGTAATATTCTTTGAAAGTTTACTTACATTTACTATTAAGCTGAGATCTTATAATATGACCTTACTCGAAAAAAATGGGAAAATTTCCCTTTTGTTTTCATTATTTAAAATATAAATGCAGCTAACAACAATACATATATAACTTTAAGATTGATGTGTAATATACAGAAAAATAAACCCAACTAAACACAACTTTGACTTTACTGCAACCGTTTCATGCTACAGTTTTTCACATGTCCATGTACATACGATGAAAAAAAATTATACGTACGACAAATAGTTTAAAGGAAATTAAAAGTAAAATAATTTACGAGAATTGACGAATGTTTCACAACGCATGATATCAAATTAACTGATAATGTATATTATTTGAACTTGCTTTGTTGTGAAATTTTCTTGTCAAATCCAAAAGTGAATATACAGTATTCAAATTTTCAAGCTGATTCGTTTATACTCTCGGGTGATGAATGCCAGGCTTTTGAGGTCACATATCGTGCGACTGTCAATTATTTTAACCATAACTTCAGTAGTCACTAATTGGCAATTAACTAATTTCCAATTGTAGGTGATAAAAATATTTCAAATATTCAGCAAGTAAATGCATCTTCAAAGTTGTACACTGACATGCACATTGATATCATAGCAGTATACAACTACCATGATGCATTTTTGGTGAATATTAAATACGTTTCTTAAAATCTTCTTTAATTTTTGCATACATTTTTTAATTCATTTAAAATAACTCCGAAAAACATTTTGGCTATCTGAGAGCGCTAACTCGTACCTACTAAGCCCAATAACACGAAAAACCATATCTGGCCATAACTGGGCCTCAACAGACGTGACGTCAGTTGGTATCTGCCATCAAGAACGCTTTCCGCTGACCTTGTGCAAGGTACTTGGTATCTGTATAGCTTTTGGCCGCATTTTTGTGGCGTAATTTTGATTTGATTATTTTAATTAAAAAATTGAAACTGTATGTGACGTATGGGGGAGATAATAAATTTTGCACGTTTTCTTTAGTTCCATAACCCCTCTGAATATTAGTATTTTGAATACAATAGGTACTGTTTGTAACAAAATTCTCTAAAAATATTGCACAAACCGCAAATATCCATCTTTGTTTTATTTTTCCTTCAAATTAACAGCAGATTTGCGGCTACGATCAATGTCCTAAAAAGTCGTACGAACACACTCAAATAATTTTCAATTTAAAAAGTCATAAATGACACTTATAATTTTTTTGAGGCACTTTAAGTGAGATTTGATGATGACCCAATGCGCACTCAACATATGCTACAAGGAGATAATTCGAATATTGAGGCAATTTAATTAGACCAGAAAATGTGAATTATATGGCCCATGGTAACTAAATAAGATTAGTGAATGACAGAAAAAATTCGTCTTTAAATGAAAATTACTAAAAATAAAATGATAACGGTGTTTTCTCATAATGTGTAACTCAGAGGACATGAAACAATATATTATTGTACTTCCGTGTGTTATCTACGTGTAGGGTTAATGTTTGGGTTTATTAATTAAATAACTGACTGATAGATTATTGTACGTATATTCATTTTTATTTAAATATTAGTATTTACAGAGATGAAAATGAGCCTATTATAAATATTATGAAAATAAATGTATCAATTAACTATGAACCCTATTTACTCATAAAACACCGTGTTAAGTTATTTCATGCAAAGTTAGGCCATTCATAATACAACCATCTGTTAAACAGAGGCCTTAATAATATAGCAAGTAAAATACTAACTGAATATTTATATAACTGTGACTAAGAGTATCATTTCTGTTTCAGGACGATATTCCTCCAGATACGAAACTCCGTAAGTATTTCCATAAAAGATAGATACTAGATGAATATTAATGAAAGTTAAAACGTGTAAGTTACGTATTTGATTTCTTTTCAGTGTTGAAGAAGGCTTTCGATGCCTTCGACCGCGAGAAGAGCGGTTCCATCAGCACAGACATGGTGGGCGAGATCTTGAGGATGCTGGAGCACCCTGTGAGCGATGACCATCTTAAAGAGATCATTGCTGAAGTCGACGCAGACGGTGAGTGAAAATGCCAAAAGTGAATGTAAACTTTCTTCCGGCAGGCCACTTGCGTGAAACAAAACTCATTTCATTTCGTTCTGTAAATGGACACAGTAAATATTCCAAGTTGTTCAAAGCATTAATTATCCCGAGTGAGAACCCTAAACTAGTCTCCTGGTTTACGCAGTTCTCGTCCAGCAGCTTTTACCTCTAAGCTAACGAAGCAAACAATGCTCCGAATCGTTTCTTTGAAAATGTTCGCCTCTAAACAATCCAGTCGTTGTTGGCTGAATTGATGTAGTAAAAAAATATGATAGAACATACAGGTTTTGTTACACGAAAACAAAGGGATTTTGGGGTTTTATGAGAAATGACACGTGTGCACTTTGTTTCTCGATTCGTCTTTGTTTCACGAATCGACGGTAGTAAATTTATCGATCATTCCCCATGCACGAATGGTATTTAGAATGACTCGTGAAATTAAAACCAACAGTGTTTAACTACACATATAATAAGCCCCAATCTGGACGGTTATCTCAAAAAATTATCGCTTTTTTCCATTCGATTTCTCTTACTGCCCCTCCCTACTGGCCAATAATAAGCCGCGACTCATCTATTTCAGGAGGCGAAATGTATCAATCGCTGTGTTTATGTGCAATAAACAGCATGTGTAATATATCACAACCTCTTCAACTTTAACATACTTTCAGTTTTTCTCAATATTTGGCGCATATTGGAACGCTGTTGGAACACAATTTCACTCATGAAAAAGTCCTATTAAATACCATTCGTGCTTTGGAAATTCTCATATAAATCCCGTCCTTGCTTCGCAATTCGAGAATTTATCGCCAATTTCCAAAGCACTCGTAGTGTTAGCTACGAATATTTTACGAATAAATAGAATAATGTATTCAAATAAAATTATTAAAACATGAAATATGACGAAACAAAAAAGATATTGGGCGATTAAGATCAATACCACCCACATTACTGGCCTTGGAACTCACGCGGGGTGTCATATATAGCAGGTCCAGAAACCCAGTAGCTGGCCATTCGCCTGAGGAATCTATGCTTACTGTCTAGCTCTAAATCTGCCAAAAGAAACTGCTATACAAACTTTGACGTTTATTCTGATGAACTGTACTCAGGCCTAGGAGCAATAAATCATGTCGCTAGGCAATAAAAACTTCGAAATGATAATTGTAGTCTAGAATATTGAAATTAAATCTTCGGAACTTCAAATTAGACAGATATTGTAAAGTATTTTAGATCACTTTAATCGATGAATAAAATAATTTTACTATATAGTTAAAACTGAAGAATCTCTCTTTCTAGCATTTTATGTATTTCATTAACTCGTTTATTGTTTCTTTTGTAAAATTTAGGAAGATGGAGTTACGACATTTCATTGCGTAGATATGACTTTTTAGAGCTAAGTGTTAAATACACATGATAGATTTACTGGCACTTCTCTTTAGGAAACCCAAATATGGGAGCACATTGTCGTCCCCATCGTACGAAATTTGGCACACGACATAGCACTTATAACCTATGAGAAAACGTTTAAAATTTACAGTTTGCCTCATGTATAAATAGTGATGTTACTAAAACACATACTTTGTCGCGTTGTTTCTAAATGTTTGCAATATTATACTACTACATAAACCAGAAAAAGTATTTTCAACAGCATTTTTCCCATTTCGAAACCCTAACTCAGTTTCTCAGAGTTAACTTGACGGACCCATACCATTATACCACACAAGCGCTGTATGGATCAAACCCAGGCAGAGGGATAAAAACGTAAATGCACGATTCATGTAAAAAATTGACGTAAATTCTCCCTTTTCGGGCGCACGGTTACATAACTTTCTGTTCTTACAAAGTTCCTTCGTAAGGCGAAAAAGTACACATCAAATGAATCTCGTGCGTGATCTGGGCTGTCCAGGTTGCCGACGTTTCGACCATCTTGTCGTCGTCCTCCTCAGGGCTGGTATGGGCATACAGCCTTCGACGCGGCGTCACCCGGACAGACATGATCACGCAGCCTACAACTTCAATCACATGAATCTAATGATGATTAAAATAAACCTCATTGGTCGGCTCAAACAGAAAGCTTTTATGTAAGCTACAGAGCTGCGATGTCAAGGTCTCCTACTGGTGGCAGTGGCACGCTCCGTGGCATGCCCCGAGCTTCTCAGCGCAACTAGCGTCGGGAAAGGAAACTATCTGAAGTAACCCTGCCCTCAGGAGGCAGAATATACTGCGATTTATGCAATTCTGTCCCTGGCATTAATTAGCTGTTGACGGTTTTATCCAATCGGGAGCTTGAACGTCACCATGGTGACTTTTAAGCTGCCGACTGGATGAAACCGTCAACAGCTGATTTCTGCCAGTAGCAGAATTACATAAATCGCAGTGTAATATAATTTTACAAGATGCTCGATAAATCACAATTTCTAAACTATGGTAGCATATATGCCTGTAAACAAGAACATGTAATAATGAAATTACTAAAAAAACAAGCAAAGGGTTCCATTAAGTATTGAACATTTGAGAAATATTTTACGAATTTATCTCTCGGGATTTCTAGAACCTGACTTTACTGTGGAACCGCATGTAAATAAGAGGATATGCACAGAAAAATAGAAGTAAAACTATAAATAAAAAACGACAAACGTTCTTAAATTTATTTATCTAAATTCCGTATAATCGTATTTGTGTAAAGCGTAAAAGCGTTCAGAGAGACTTTGACTACCTACTGCTCTCTTGTGGGGTGATCAACTGCGCGGAGGGGTGATTTCGTCGTGCTACCCGTGTCGCGGGCTCCCGCAGGTGGCATCGACCTTAACATCACTGCTGTAGAGGAATCTAAACCTTATAAGTATGACGTTACAAATCAAGGAGGCCATCTGTGCCAAGGCAATATCATCTATATTAGTGCTAAGTAGGGTTTGTTCTAATTGTGAATATTGTTCTCTTCGATCGAATTTTGAATTTGTCACAAGCTCGAAAAAGTTCGGTATCATTTTGTAGTATTTTGTATTACATCGAAGATTTATTATATTATTGAAATATTTTCAAATACTCTGTATTTCGTTAGTACGCGGTGGCTGATTGTGGTATATACTCGTACCTTACAAAGGATCTTGTAACGCCCAGCTCAGCAACCTCCTTATGAAAAATTTTATGGGGAACTGATATCATGTAGTAATAATATTATTTTCCAATTTAATGTCTGCAATGATTTTCTAATGCGATTTCTCTAATGCAATTGATTATTTAATACTATTTTTCTAATTAAATATAAATTAAAACAAGGATAATTGTAGAGGAAAGACGCAAAAACTGTACAAGCTCCTATTGTGAAGATATTTCTGATGTGATACGTTTTCCCGCGCATTGCAACTCAAATATATCTTCTTGATACATAAATCTATTGAAGCAACAGACTTTACAGCAGTTTATTTTGGCATTTTTTTAGGTTTTTTAATACCGTTGCAAATTAACACAACGGTACTTGAACAAAATTTATTATTTATACCCAAATGTTTGATTAGTCATTTGCATTTATGCATTGGAGCACAATCACATGTCTCAATGTATGATTGTCACTGTTGCTGGTAAATTGCTTAAAATACTGTGATTGTATTGATTAAATTTGGAGTATTTTTTTATATATTTTTTTAACACTTATAAAACATGAATTTAAATCTGATTGTAGGTTCCGGACAACTGGAGTTTGAGGAGTTCTGTGATCTCGCCGCTAGGTTCTTGATTGAGGAGGATGCTGAGGCAATGCAGCAAGAGTTACGCGAAGCTTTCCGTCTTTATGACAAGGAAGGTAGGTACAAGAGAACTATACCAGCTCCTTACATATTCGTATTTAAATAAAAGTTGTGAATTCTCTTTCTTTGGCTGTCAGAAGTAATTAGGATTAAACTAATAAATTAACTGTGGTATGCGCTTAATTTCATTTTATATTTGACGCATTCATTTTATATTTGTACCTTGATATAAATAGAGTAATATTATATGTAAAATAAAAATATGTATTGATATAATATTTTCGTAATAATATTTAGTAAAGTAGAATTCCATAAAGAATCTTTCATGGTATTATAATGTGTCACAATATAATATTTTTAATTTAATGAAATTGAAATATACGATTTTATTAAACTATGAGGAAATAAACTGGTAGTAAATTACTCTTATTATTTTTAAAAATATTTAACTATAAACAATACTACATATTATTATATTATTATATTATTATATTATTATATTATTATATTATTATATTATTATATTATTATATTATTATTACAAATAGATAATTGCGTTGTTGCTCTTGGAATTTATAAACCGCGCCCGCCGTGCCGTTCTCTGCGCTCACTCCTTCCACCCCTCTCCCTTGGCCCGCTCCGCGAGCCCCGCCCCCTCCACGCGCTCTGCCAGCACTACCCGGGTGCGTTCACCTCACAGCCAGCACAGCCGCTATCCCTATACTTGGGTTTACCCTAGCCCTTGCCGCGCGAAGCCTTGTCTTCACGAGGGAATATCTCGAGACTTTCTCAGTCGTGCCGCTAGATGTCGCATGATCGCGACCGTCTCCAGCAGTGCTGGCGATCATGTGACATCCAGCGGCACGACCGAGAAAGACACAATATACCGTAAGATATTCCATCGTCAGTCATAGCATCGCGCGCCAAGAAATTAAAACTCTAGTATACAGCGACTCTGTCCGGAAATCCTAGAGTTCGAGCCCCGACGGTGGTGTATTTTCGACTGTAACTAGCTACACAGTTAGGCCAACATCAGCCGCAATCCGGCCGTAGAAGTATTTTAGCAGCCGTCTGCTCCGATCACACTTTCATTTTTTTAATTTTCGATGTATCCAAATATTCAAACAAACCTAACGTTACTCCGGTCTTACATTTCGGTGAGTTTTAATTGCAGATATTAAGAATTCAAGGAAATAACTTGTTGAAAGTAATATAGGAAGAACACTGAAAGAATGGGCCATAAAATTATTATTCAGGAAGATTCTAGCACGATATCAGTTTTATTCTGCATAAAAAAATTCGTTTGACTGATTTAAAAATCAATAAAATCTTAACTGAACGAATAAAGATTAATAATTAATTTGGCCGATTTATTACTCGCACTAACTAGAACTGCCTAACGAGTATATTCATATTAACTATGGGGAATCAGTATTTTTAAAATATATTTTTCCCATTGAAATTTCAATGTTCATTTCACATATTGACTACTGACTTTTAAAAATTCATTCCCTTTGCGTCTGTAATTTTTGTAAAATTTTCAATGTCAAAGTAAAAGGTTATAAATATTATTATTTCTTATTAACATATTAACATTCAAAGCATTATTTATTATCCTCCTAATAATAATAGGTATCTAAATATGAAAAATGATGTTCATACTAGTATATCAATTTATATTAGTAAACATCGTATCATCTGTTTGTTGGCTTTTCATCTGCAATGTCTAGTTTATCATTATTCACCTCTGAACTATGACCTCAATTGTGTTCTTGCAGGTAACGGTTACATCAGTACAAGTGTGCTCCGCGAAATTCTTAGAGAATTAGACGACAAAGTCACAAATGAAGATCTGGACATGATGATTGAAGAAATTGACTCTGATGGATCTGGCACCGTGGACTTCGATGGTAAGAGTTTTGAAACACATTCTATTTCTGCATAAAATAAGTTAAAACATTCCTTGACTATTTCTTAGATATATATGTATTTGTTATTCTTTGTAAAATTTTTTGTTCTGGAATATTTAATTTCAAGTAAGTCATTACTCCTAACGGGATCTAACTTATTAATCCTAATGTTTAAATTATTTTTAATTGAACGTTGTTTTACGTCTGATTAGTATTAACAATTTTATTAAATTTTACTACCATACATATTCCAAACTTCTCTAGTTTCAATGCATTGAATGTATCATCGCACTAAATTGGTTAAAACATTATTTACAGTATGAATGTGTTATCACACTAAATTGGTTAAAAATATTTAAATAATAATAATAACTACAATTTGAATTGGGTTACTACGTTTCCACTTCTCAGAGACAGACTTGCTCAGGGGTGGAGTCAACTTTCACGACTTGACGCACATGCGCGCCCCTTGTACACAATATGTTCTTTCTGACTTAAGTCAGTCAGGAACATGAGTAATGTTTTTTGACAAATATTATTTTATTTACACTGCTCGTGTGTCAGATAAATTTAAAAATATTGTGTTATGACCCATAGAAAATCCTTTTCCATTATTGACCTATGGTTAAAGCTAAATTGATAATATAGTTCTGGTTTTAATGAACAAGCATACTAAATATTTAATTCAATGAATACCCCTGTTTGTCATTCTCTTCCACATCATTGGATACTTATCGACTGACACAAAATGCAGGACTCCATCTTACATTCCGCATTTTACATTGCTTCAAACTCCCGATCTGACTACGCTTCGAAAACAAGGCTAGCGTGATTGATTCTATCATGTGATAAGCAAATGGCCCCGAAGACACACAAATGTGCGATAGGTTTTTACATACTTGGAAAAGGAATTAGAAAAAGAATACAAATTATGTTTATCAATGAACGCTACAAACATGAAAAGAGTAATCATTGTTAATTGATGAGGACGCTAAGGCAGTCGAGGAAAGAAAGTACTGCCTATGACCACTCTTTTCCGGAGCGGACAATCACAGTAATTTATCATTGTCCTCATTTGCAAGGAGGAAGGTAGGGTAATGATAAAGGTGGATAGGGCGATGTACGTGTGAAATATGCAGAGGTATGGGAGAGCACACTACGACATACTAACACTCAGGAAACTCCCAACCTTTTCACTAACTTACAAGAGATATGAACATTCTGCCACCCAGGCAGGCTCAAATCTCGTAACTTAATTCCAGAGTACGTAGGTACTCTTCAGAACCCGATTTCGAATCTTTTCACGCCTAGGAGAGTTGAAGTATCTGGTATAAATGTCTATTTTTAAAGACTTCGCATTGTTTATCTGTAAACAACAGACTATTCTCTACGCATGAAACTGTCAGCAACTGTTTTTAGAAATATTAATAACACAGCCTTTCATCGGCGTATAATTAGTTCATTCTTAAACAAGGAAATGTATTACGTCTACAATCGATCTTCGTTTATAAACTCCAAGTGTTTTCAAAATAAAAAGTAGTGAGGAAAAACATGAGAGCTCGCAGACACAAATCCTGTTAGCTGTCAGAAGAAAATGAAGTAATTCGTATTATCTACTAGATGTGAATATTTGAACGCCAAACGAACAATATTCATCAATAAACATCTAAAAACATAATAAATAGTATAGCTGCCTAATGAAACATTGTTTTTGTTTCTGCAATAATGCAGCCGCACACGATAAAGTAGCACCAATAAATGTTTACATTATTTTCTTATCCTCAGATATACATTTTTATTTACGAATATTACCCTTTAATATCAGTCTAAAATAAATCATCTTCAAAAATCAGAACAGGCGTCACTCAAGAATACAGTACACCAGGTCAGGGGCAGCGTTCTCTCGCTCTGGCGACTTGCCCAAGAACTCGGCGTTAACAATCTTGGCAATGTTACAACAAATAACGCAAAGTATAGAACAACAGCGAAACTTAGGATGCCCCTTATTTTCTTCATGTGCAAGGTAGGGGAAAACCTTCCTTCCAAAAACTTAGGTGACAACAGAATTTTTATGATACCCAATTTTCTTTCTCCTGTACTGTGCAATTCTTTCAGGTATGGCGAGTTTTTATTCTTTTTGTTTAGCATATTTTAATTATGATAATAAAGGGATTAATTAACTACCTCCAGTCTTTGTGATTCAATGGTCCATGTTAATGGGTGTCATTGAGTGAAATGATTTCATTTCCACGACCGGCGCTTACACGCCTATTTTTTAAAATAAAAACAACAATGTTTTAAGAGTAAATGTTTGATTACACGGAATAAATGAAAACTATATCGTAAAATTGTTATTTTACTATTTTCCAGAATTCATGGAGGTCATGACCGGAGGTGATTAATTTTTGTATTGCAACATCAGAAGACATCCGCAACTCCTCTCAACGCATATGAAGATAATGTGAAGACGCTCTAAAATGTCCTCAAGGACCTTCAGAGGAATATGATGCCTGTTTTGTACATATTTGATTCTTATGAATGTCGTTGTTGACTTACGTTACAATAAATATTAAGTAATTTTCAATATTTTTATTTTATATTCTATATTTTAAGAATCACGTCAATATAATTTAGCAAATTGTTACGATCACCAAGACGCATTAAAATGATATGTATGCTACTAAGAAGAAAATACAAATCATGCTTAAAAATTATGTTGAAGCTAACTTTAAATATTGTATTAATTCCAAATTATTTGATGATAATTATCGTTATAAATCTCGTTTTCTTTATTTCATTTCATATTTCGCTAATCTTCATACTGAAAGACAATTCGCCGAACATTAGATGTAAATTTTTAGTTATTGAAAGAACCCTTTGGAATGAATGAAGTTATTTGCGGTGATGGCTATACTAACACACGAGAGATTGCAATAAGGCATCTTTACACTGCTACACTCTGAGGAATGAATACAATTAAATACCACTGGAGGAATGACGGGTGACGCATAACAGACACAACTTGTCATAGCCACCTACTCAATGAAGTAACCTTACAACTGATTGTCAGACTTAAATAGATAGTGCAAAGTGTAATGCGGGGGAGGTGGGTTGGTAAGTGGCGAGGCTCCAGTGTCTCAGTTGTCACCCGCACCTACAGGATCCTCGTATCGTCTTCGTAGCTCCTCGCCATGGTACGTATGCGCATCTACAACTTTCGCACGAAATAAACACCTTTCAACTTTTTGGTTGACTTTACTCATTTTTGGTCCTAACCAAGGTATACAAGTGTGTTAATAAGTTTTTATGATGTTATATTTGCTTAAGGGAGTTTGGGAGGGGGTTATTGCCAGTTTGAAGACTAATGACAAGGTGTCAATGACTCGTAGGCCTCTCGAAGATTTGTTCGTTGTGATGAAACAAGTTGTGGCTTGAAATCAAGGAGACAGGCTAATTCAATACTCAGATTTTAATTCCAACAAAAACATTCAATATACTAGTAGTCTTCAAAATATGCATCTGGGCATGAACGCAGCGAGCCTAGCGATTTCCTCATTGAAGGAATCTTGGAAGACTTTTTCTGGAAATCTCTTTCAGTTCTCTCGTGACCGGCAAACGGACCTATTTCAGTGTGTTTTCAACGCCCTTCTTCAACACGGAAACAAAGTCTCAAGGAGAGAGGCTGAATGTTGGTTGCAAACTCATGGATATGCCTAATCCGGCAACAACTCCCTGACACTGAACGATGTCTCTGACAGAAGGTTCTCAGGATGGTACAGATTTCTTGATGTCGCCACCTCTTAATCCGCATGCAGACAGACACATGTTCAACGGACTCTGAAAACACTCCCATACAAAATTACTTGAAACTTGCAATGGTATCTTCTGCACGCATCAGGTCAAAAATGCCGATTAGTGATAAAAAAGAACTTACATGATCAGCTGTAGTTTGTGTAATCATCGTTGTCTTTGTCGGGGTGGGGTTCCTTAGCAGGAATCTCGGCTCGGCTTGGCTCATTTTCTCGGTCGACTCTCGAGGCATTGTGCGATTTAAGCACAATTATCATAATCCACAAAGAATCATAACCTTGAGCTGCCTTGATCATGTTGAATGCCTCGGTAGATTGCTTCCTCAGTTAAAGGGTTTACGCAAGTCAACCGCGTAGAGCTGTTCCCTTCATTGTTGTCCTAACTTATCGTCCAAACAGAGGTACACTCTCCAGGCTTCCTCCTCGCTTCGACTAAAGGAAAAATTAACTTTGTCACTTTATGAAGCTGAAAGTTCCCACATCTTCTCTCAGTATTGATTTTGAATCAAGCATTCAATAGCTCAAGATCTCAACTTTTCACGTTAATCCAGGACTGACCTTATAGCAAAACGAAAATTTACGAGAAGAACTTCGTAATAAATATTATTGGAACACAAATCTTCTAATAACCCATGGCCTCTCTTTTTACACTATGAACATCAGTCTTTTATATTTAGCGTTTAATACTCAAATTAAAACGAAAAATGTATTCTAAAAATATTCATAGTGGAATATTTATTACAATTCTCAAGTGGTTACCAAACAGCCTATCGATCCATACAAAAATCCATAGATAATTCTTTGTTTGTATGAGTGCAATGGAAAGAATAATTATGAGCAAAATGCCAACGTACGTTCTCTGCTCGGTTTCTTACAAAATCAAGCAAAAAATTTTTATTGTTTTGCAAATTGTAATTAAAATATAAAATTCAACTGACTGAATGAGGAACAATACGTAACCACGTCTTTTATCCAAAAATACTGGATATCTAGCAACTTTGGCGGACTGAATTATTAAAAAATATAGGAGGATATTAACCTTTTCTAATTGCATTTCAGCATTTACTGTTCATTTAAATACTGTTTTAAATTACATTATTTTCATTTAGAAAAATAATAATCGTAAATTGAGACTACTGTCTACTACCACTATATAAAAATTGATTTCTCATAATATAGAAAAGTAAAATCAGCATTATGAATAATGCGCAGAATAAATTACAAAAATACGATTTTAATGCACAAATAATTCAAAATTAAATTACTGAAATAGTACAGCAAGTAAGTATTGTGTAGTTGAAACATATGAATTAAGGAAAAATTTTGATGGTAGGTGAGACAAATTTTGATTTTTATTTAATCAGAGCAATTCAGTTACAAATTTATAGGTATCAATAATTAAATGTGGTAATTGACACGACAAATATTAACTATGTTCCGAGTCCAAGCATTGACAGTCTGTGTGCGTGTTTCGGTAAAATCGATTGAAGTGCTTTCAATTACGTATCGGAAACAATATATTATATTTGAGGCAGACATCCTGTAAGATGGATCTCAAATTACCCGACATAACATGACTAGACCTTGTTACTTAGCTGTAACGAGGCTGAAACCGAATATGCTTTATCACTTCCAATTATCTTTAATCGGTCAACTGAGCAGGTGCAGTAGGCGATTAGAATGCATTGACATTTCGAATTGATATTTTTTCAAAACTACTTAGATAATGCGAAGAAGACGAAGTGTAGTGTTCATATTGAATATTGAATCGCTTTGTAATTTGGTGATTTAACAGGATGTGCAAATTATATTTCAACAATGACTTTGAAATTTGAAATCACACAATATCATTTTCACCTGAATGATGAAATATTTGACAAAACAATTACGTATATTTAATTACAAACTAAGAGTAAAGGAATTAAAAATGAAAATCTGGATAACAAATCAAATGTTGTAGATATTGAATACACACTTCCCGGATTAAAATATACCTACACAACTTATTTTGTGCCATCATGGTAATAAACATTTCATTTAACCTGTTTTCACGGAGATCTTTTGTACAAGAGTGATAACAACTAATAAAAATACAGGTTTTAAAATCGGCGCACAGTTGTCAGCTCTACAATATTGTTTAATATTTGACTATTCCTTATTTTTATTTGGAATATTGTACTACAAAGCTCTTGCATTTGGATTAACTAGCGTTGATTTTTCCTTCCATTCTAAGCCAAAATTCGACTCTTTCGACTTAATATGCCAAGTTCTCAGTTCGCCCGTCCCACATGAGAGCGCAGCACGTGGTGGTTCTATCGGCGGGAACGAAGCACACACAGCGCCTGGCTTGTATTTTGAGTGAAGGCACCTTAACCTCTACGTGAGAGACCGGATGTGATGGCTCATGATATTAACTGATGTCACTACAGCGCCTCTGACCAGAAGATCCTTGTGTTCGAGCCCTAACGGCACAGAATGTTTGACACTAGTCAGCTAGGCCGAATTTAGGCGCTGTCTGGAGAAGAATTATTCTAGCAGCCGCCTGCTCTGATCAGTAGATTTCCGTGGTTTCTCCGATCAACACCAGACGAATGCCCGTGCAGTATCCTAACAAATGGCGCACGGACCGCCGGCGATATTTCCTTCCTCTTCCTTGTACTATCCTTACCCCATACATATCGGGATACCAGTTCGGAGTATAGAGCTTTTCCCGGCTGAGATGGTGCCAGCTGGTGGCAGACACCTGAATGAGGAAACACCCGCAACTGCGTAACCTCGAACTACGTAGCAACCAGACGAGGTAACTAGTGCATATCGTCTACTGAACTGCAGATTAATACCCCCAGTTCAACGTGATACCTCGAAGTTCTACAGACCCGGCTCCAAGCGCGTGAGAGCCAACTGACTTTATGATCGCTGAGTTTTCCCAAGATTTCATATATTTCACTTCAGTTATAATATTTCATATGTTATTTAATGGTACTTTAAAACTATTTGCAGGAACCGATAGTATTTGGCCCGTTACAGTGTAACATAATATAATCATAATGGCTACGTAGGTATAAGTAAGGTATGCAATAGGGTGTTTTAACACCTACAATAATGTCTAGCTAATATTTATGCTTCATAATTATAATTGCTTGCCAACACACTGTGCTACTCTGAAGCCTGAAGCATCCATCTGTGTATTTTCAGGGGTTAACATCTATCCTATCCAGGGGGTAAGCATCCATCATTGTATTAACATCTTAACATTATATCCAAGATGCTGTTGCATACCATTACATATTGCGCTATAGCAGTCATAAAGTAAACCTCAGACGTACTGCCAACAACATTCACATCTTTCCATTCTAACAAGAAGTCTTTGAACAGATACAAAAAACTGAATGCTCATTCATATCTTGTTTGAATAATATTTCTAACATTTTTGCACAATGGCCTCCAAATATTTTTACTTTCACGGCCCATCTCAACAACGTTCTCTTAGGTAAAACTACGAGTATTGTATCCTGATAAATCCACAATTCCAACGGAACATTATATTTCCTCAGAATACAATGTAAATGTGTAATCACATTTCTGCTGAGCGTACAATACGAACATTTTGGGGAAAAAAGTTCCAAACGTTATCATAAAAAAATAGTTCAAAACAATATTGGTTCATTTGTTACTATATTTATAACACTCGTAATATTGAAATTTGTAAATTCAGGATTTATGTCAATTTTTTTCACTTTATTTTTTCTTTCTTACATTGGAAAAAGACACGCGTAGAGAGAGTATTATCTTGAATGCTCCTATTACGGTGCCCAGAACCAATATTACTCTAGTTCAGTTACATATGCCTTTCAGTCACACAAAATTGCATAATTAGTTGGGTTCCAGTTAGTCTCACATAATTAGTTGGGTTCCAGGTAGATTTTTCAGTGCGCCGGCACAGATCCTCACCGCTGTCCTTAGCACTGATACATACATGTTCTGGAGACAATAAAGATAGATGCACTGAAGTAATCATGATCCTTCTCAAGAATCGCAATTAGTTGTTCTGTTGTTAATAAGAGAAGAAAAGATGTATTAGATGAATTTTGAATTATATTTATTTATTTTTATTTATAACTCCTAACGTCAGGGGGGTGGCTGTGGCTCAAGGGGAGCAGCAAGTAAATTGGAGTCGATCTAATACATCCCTTAATGCGCGCACAGTATTATTTAATTGAGTATCGACCGAAAGGACATGGCGACTGTTCAACCATACTGCAGCTCCGTATTCTGCTGCGCTGTACACAAATCCGAGAGCTGAAGTACAAAGTACTGAGGTAGCAGCGCGGAAAGTTGACCCACACAGCTTCAGCAAAATATTGTTCCTAATGTGAGTTTTAGCAGCTGTGTTTTTCAAGGTGCGTTCCAGTGTTATTACCAAATATGTTGAGGTCTTATTATAGTTCAACAGGGAGTGATTAAAATAAATCTTCAGGTTTCAATCGGCAATTTTATTACATAGGTGGAAGCTAGAACATTCCGTATTATTTGTACTTGGGGTTGGTCTCCACTTATGTTAGTAATAAGTTGATAAAGGCACCTATTAGGGAAGATTTTCAAAATTTTACACATTAATCCTTCTCTTCAGACTGGCCTGTAAGGGTGACGCCGCGTCGAAGGCTGTATTGCCGACGTTTCGACCATCTTGTCGTGGTTGACTTTATTCATTAATATCAGTCCGGAACTTCGGCGTCAGAAATATATTTCCATTGCCTTCAATTTCTTTTCTCTCTTTTTTGTTACTTCCCTTACCTCAGATCCATAAAGGGCTCTTCTCTCTACAACAGTTATATATAATCTTCTTTTTACACTCTTTCTTAATTTATCTTTCCATTTCAAGGGATGTAATTGTCTTATAGCCACTCTACATTTTGAAATTCTTTTTATAATACCTTGCGTACTCCCTCCATTTGCGTTTATTTCTGAACCGAGGTATACGAATTTCTGAGAGGGTTTTACTTCCTAACCATCATCCTGTTTCAGACCTTTATCACTTCCTCCTGCAACCATAGCATCAGATGTGAAGCTAATAAAAAATCGCTATTGATTATTTTCTGTTGCGTCAATGCCTTTGTTCACTCGTGCGGAAGTTTATCAGAAAGTGGCGGTATTCCTCTTCCGTTAGAACGTCAGGTCTAGCGTAGTCCCTGGCGGCTTAAGGAGGTGTTCATTCCCACCAGGTTCTTCCGCTCCACAACTCCCACACCTCCACGCTTCGACACATCTCTCTAAATGTTTGGTAGAGTGCTATACGGGTATTTTATGTCTTATACCGATTTGAAAGGTACAAGTTATTGAATAAAGGTAAAATATGTGTGACAATATTCAGGTAATATATACCTTTACCGCTATAATTTCGGTATTCGTTTCAGAACAAAAATACTGAATATTCATAGTATACCATGAATTATTTTGCAATACATTTTTTCTTGAGATCAAAATTAACTTTAAATTATATTAATATTTAGGTTCTATTAATATTAAAGAAGGGTTATCGGCATCCAATTAAATTGTTAACGGAAGTTTCAGCCGCACTTTTTACCCCACGGTTATTGATGAAACTGTTTTCGTTTACTACGATAAGTTCGAGAATTTACTTCTATTATTTTCTTTACGAAACATTAGTTCAGTGGGATAGTATGATACACTAACAATTTTGCTTTCACTTTAAATATTTTCACTCGGGTTTAGGACCATTAAAATTTGTTTTCATCGGATCGCAGAGTAACAATGCTGTAGACGTCCATTAGTGATAGCAGTTTTACTGGTAGATAGCCAAGTTAAATAGTCGAGAGAGTAGAATAGCCCAGAGTGCGAGATAGCCGAGAGGCTGAAATAGCAAAGAGAGTCATTGAGTGAGTCAACGGGTAAGTGGATGATGCAGCGGTTGAATGAGGCATTACTGGTAGAAAAACATCACTAATGAGTAACGTCCGCAGGTTGGAGTAATTAATCGTGTTTGCCTTCTAGTTCACCGTGTTTACAATCAAGTTTTCCTGAAGCACTTAACAGGAATCAATAAGAGCGTATGTGGTTTATTATAGTACCGCGAGATGGCAGCACTAGCTCTTATTGTAAGGATGAACGGACTATTACAAATCGAATAGTGTTACAATAAATGAATTAAGAGAGAATGAAGTAAGAAAATAATGTATATTATCTTAAATCTTTTTTCTAAATAGCAAACAATATTGAAACTCATTACTTTTTAAAATTGAACATGATTAATTTCTCAAGATCCTACAAAAACGAAAATTGAAGTATTTGAAGCTATGATGGAAAGTTGATAACTCCTTTTTATAATCGTATTTAGTATCGTAATATATAACTGCTACATTTGAAAGGATTATAATTGTTATTTGTATTTAAGTGCATGCATAAAGTGCGTTTTTGCTCGATGAAGATCAAGGAGTTTTGCTGAGAATTATAGGCCGAGGTAAAGTATCGAGATCGTTCAACAAATAATAAATTTGCTCAGAAAATTGTATAGTAGCTACTTATGATACAAGTAGTAAAAGTGGTATTTTATTTTGAGAATGAGAAAGATTGCAACAGTTCCACAATTCCAAGAGCTAATTGAAGTCACTTTTACCAGGCTTGTCATACATTATTTTTATAGACCTACTGTCTGTCATTTTATTTTATTTTAATTATACCAATCACTTATGTATTACGTTACTTTAGGTTTGACGGGCTTAGGCTCACATGGTCAGATGAAAGTACTGTATTTTATTTGTTGCATTATTAGCTTCATCTGAATACTTTTAGCATTAGTGCTCAAACCTAACCTTTTAGCGTCTGTGAATAACATAAATGCAACCACTTTTACTAGTAGCTGTGGAAAAGTCTGTTTTACAAGATGAGGTATAGTTTGCCAGTTGTCTTAAAAAGTGATAACTTCATACTCGCGTACCGGTGTGCGAATATCGTGATATTCATCTGTTGAAAATAATTTGTGTGCCTACGACAATACATACTTTTTCGTGTTATTTATGACAATTAATTAATATAATATTGCAACTTGTGTCTTACAAATACTTATCACTTAGCCATCATAGCCATAGCCATTACTTAGTATAAACTCTCTTTATCAAACGAAGTTCGAAAGATTTTTAAAAAGTACATATATTATTCATTTTTGAACATCAACAAAATTAATGATAACGACACTTCCGAGATTTAATTCAATGTTCCATACACTTATACACATTTTAAGGAATAAAAAAGTCCGCAGGCCCTGGCTTTTGAACCGACTGATGTCTGAAAAACTGCCGACCACAAATGAACGACAATAGCTATCGACAGATTATCGGCAATTATCACTATGTAAAGAAATAAGGGAAATACTGAAATCAACACTTCTGATATTTCAGAAAATGTCTGTAGAGATCACTGGATAAATGTATGCCCCCAAATTATAACACAATTAATTTGCAAGCACACATAAAACAGCGCGAAAGTCGAAAAAATATTATATTACTTAAATTTGAAAATAAAAATTGTGCTTATGCCATGTATCTTAGATCATTAAGCTAATGAATTAAAACATAAAATCTATTTGTGGAGAGAAAATAAGTACATTGTTCAGGCGCATTTGAAAATTGAAAGTGATTTAAGATTATGTAAAACTACTCATTAAAAACTACTATAATTTAAAGATTCATTATCAGGTAATCCAACTCAAAAGAGAGAAATGTTTAGATTTGATATTGAAGGTGCACACGGCCTAGAAAATAATGTAGAACACTTTTGCAATTTTTGAAACCTCAGATGTGTTAATAAAATCAAATTTTACTATACTTATACTTCTAGGCCACTTTGATCTATTTTTGCAAACAATCTAAAGAAACTATTTAGTGCCCCTTTTGAGATAATTTTGAACTTGTTCCAAAAGCCTAACACAATGTGTTCGAAAAATGAAATGATCCGTTTCAAATTCTGAGGATCTCAAGTTGGACCAGGGAGAGAAAACAATGCACTTGAAGAAACATACTGTGGGAGGTGTAAGCACTAGTCATATTCACACACAGACAAGGAAAGACAGACTTTATGAAAACTTCAAATTACAACATGGCACAGAATTTCTCGCGCACTTTTTAACTGCAATTTAAAATTATAATTTACATGTTACACATTATTTCCTGAAAATTCGAGGAATCGAATGCAAATATCTATTTATTAAACTGATTGAAATACAGCAAACCATGTCTTCTCAAATCATATTCTGAATACAATTGTTTTGAGGGAGTATGTGTGTACACGTGTTTAGCAACACTGAATCCTTTTTTCAAATTGGTATTGTCGCTTTCATCTTTTTTTACACGGGAGAACAGGCAGCTCAGGGAGATTGGAATGCCCATCACTGTGTCGTAAAGAAACCGTGCGTTACCAGCAATGAACACACACACAGTTTTAGGAACACACTTTTAATAGACGTATTAAAGAGAATTTGTAAAAATATAGAAAGAGCTTTCTCGACAAAATATTACGTGAATTGCTCTCCGAAGAGCAAGTTAAAAAAGACATAGTGTTTTATTGACAAATAAGTTATTAATAAAAAATAATGAACGACGAAAATTTGAACAGGTCGAGGACGAGGAAACAATACATGTAATGATAACATATATTCTCTAGTAATATGCAATATTTTTGTATAAATCATGAAATGTAGGTTAACATTGGATATTGCACAAATTCAGTTAAACACTTGTATGGTATATTTTGAATAATGTTATTAAAACATGTAAGTTACGTATATATGGCACACTTTTTCAAAAAGCTTAAGTTTTGTAGTTGACGACTGGGTTCAAGGAGCAGTGAATGAAAACAGGCTGTGCTTCTTGTTTTTACGCGACCATTACAGCTGTGACGGTAAGCAACGAGGTCGTGAAAGAAAGTAAACAACTGAGTGGAGCCAGAACTCGCAGAGCACCAGGTGACGCAGTGCACCCAATCCCTGAAAACCAGGGTTATTCATTAAAATATTACAATGATAACTTTTAATTCGAAGCAAAAGTGATTCATATATCTATATAAACCGTTCATGCTTACAAAATAGACTAAATTAACTATGATGTTTGTATTTAACTAACATGAGTGACTCAATATAGGACGAAGTGATTCATACATAAAATTTAAGAAAAGTAAATATGTTTAACCAAAAATCCTTAAGACTAATTATAATCTGTAAGTTAATATCCAGAAATTAATTTTACCAGATCATAATATTTTAAAATAGTTTTGTTGAAATTTCAATTGTAAAGACAAGCAGATAAGTGACAATAAATACTGAAAACTTAACTACACGGCAACCCTTGTAGAATTTATATATCCTGTATGAGGAGGGCACAGGAGTTTCTTGTCAGATATATTCATTTAAATATTTCGAAATAAAATAAACATTTCTTAAAACAATACGAGTTTAAGTTTTAATTCTTCATTACACAGTATTATTACGATGATTCGAGGAAGAATCTTTTTCCAATCTTCAGGCTACACAGAAAGTAAGATATTAATGAATATGGAACTAAACAAAATATTACAAATGTTAAAATACAATGAAAAAAATTATAAAAATATAATAAAATAGTAGCCTACTTTAATCGCAACGATAATGAGAATTGTAATAAAAATATCTAAAGAAAGAATAATTAATACTTCAAATCGAATTTTTCTAAGAAATGTTTATTTTATTTTTAAATGTTTAAATGAATCGATCTGCAGGATAAATCCTGTAATTAGAGTGCATAAATTGTGACGTATGATTTTATGTAATGTAATATTATATGTAAAAAAGTATTAAAATAATGTATTTTTTATTTTTCAGGATGATCTAGATAAGTCTCAAATTGAACGTAAGTAAAACGATCTAACATTTTGTGTGCTACAGTGAAAATGAGCACGTAATCATTAAGAACAACCTTTAGTTACTGCAGATTAAGGATAAGGATATATGATGCATTTAATAAAGATACACGGCAACATGGACGAGAAAAAAAACGTACGTTCTATATACTAAATCCATTGATAGCACTATCATCCCTTTCTTCGATTTGAACGCAATTTAGTCGCCAAAAAGTTAACAACGAACGTGGAAAATATGATGAAGGTTGAGATGTAAATCTCCAAAATTAAGCTCAAGTCAGGGATATTCTTCGTTTCAAACTTAAATGTTGTGTAATATAAAGCTATATAGTTCTGTTAAAATAAAAATTATAAAACTGACATTATAAAATAAATATTATAAAAATGGCAATAAAATTAACATTGTTCAACGTAATAACATAATCAATACATAAAATTGCATTAGTTGGATTTATTTAGGTATTTTTTCACATTACACCTGAACAATCTTTGCTAACCATTACGTGACTGATGTTTACAAACAAAAGTTGTTTCCACACACATGTTTCTCTTCACACATCACTCTGTTTACTCTCACTTTTCATAGTATTACTTTGTATTATTATTTTTTAATAAGCAGAAGCTGGTGGCAACCGAAAACAAGCTTTTGTTGTACAAAGAGTGAATGTGAAAATTGTCACTAAGCACAAGAAACCCAGTAATATTCATGTTACACATGAATCCAACTCTAACATTTACTTGTCAATATAGTTTAGTTCGTTATAACTGAGGTCTCGAAAAGATGTCTACAGGTGTTTTTCTTTCAATATGAGTGATAAAGGTAACATGACATTACCGAGTTCAATGCACTGTAATGAAAAATTTGGAAATGCTTTCAGCTGTATCTAAATTTTTCTATAACCATGTTTGAGTCAGCACAGATGCCAAGTTTTTTTCGCAAGAAAGCAAGGTTCAGCTCTTCAGAGGCTCAATAATTCTTAATACGACCAATGTGTCTGCAAATAGGAAAGTGGCTCACATAAGACTAATATATTATTTGCTCTCGGAAAAGCCGTGCAGAAATAGAACCAAAAATTTTGTAGTCGGCAGTTTTTGCCTGCCTACTTGGGATAGGGTTTGGTGCGGCTGTTAATAATATTAATAATAATGTTACAGTGAGATTTATTAATGGAAATAATATGGTCAATTTATATTCGTAGTATTGAAGAAAGCATTCGATGCCTTCGACCGTGAGAAAACAGGTTCCATTGGTACGGACATGGTGGGAGAGATCTTAAAGATGTTGGACCATCCAGTGGACGACGATATTCTACAAGAAATTCTCGAAGAAGTCGATGCTGACGGTGAGTTAAAATGAACATAACTGCACATGTATTGCCATGACCATTTAAAGTCACTTATTTTGGGCTTTAGACTTATTTACAGTTCTAGGTTCATGCAATGTTTGTGATTCTATAAATTTCAATATAAATCACTCACAAACACACAAAGACACTTACAAACTGCTTATTGTGTACATCTCAACTTAGACTTCTTTAACTCAAACTACATGACAAGGGCTCACATTTCAATTATTCTCTTTCCAATTTAAATTTATTATAGATACACCATCGTCAATACTATAAAACCATCATTCAGAGTTCCGTTCGTGTTTGGGATGCTTCCCTGCCTGTTTTAGACAAAAATGGCTTATTGTGGCTTTCTTGGGTACAGCTAAGAATTACTATACTAACATATTATGACAATAAAAATGAAATTTTTTTCCACCGATTAAGAATATCACAATATACAAATAATTAGAATTTCATAACTGCACATGCATTTTGATCTTCAGTATTTAGTAAAGTCTGAAGATGCCACACGCTGCCATCAGAGCTTCTAGACGTCATGGTCTGGATTCAAAATGATCCTGGATTTGCTGCTGGGGAACACACTGCCTCGCGGTGTCTATGCGTGACCACATAGCATCGAGAGTGGCTGCAGGAGAACCAGAACGAACAAGTTGCCGACCGATCATATCCCACACATGTTCGAAGGGCGACATGTCAGGCGAATGTGCGAGCCAAGCAAGGAGTGATAATCGTTGTTCTTCGCAGAGAACTTGCACATTGCTCGCCACATGCGGTCGTGGTAAATATGGCTTGTGGAGCTGCTTGTAGGTGGGGCAGCACCTCAGACTCTAAAACTTCCCTGATGTAGCGGTTGCTGTTCAAACTGCCTCAATACGTATGAAGTGAGATCGCTCAATGTAGCCTATGGCGCCTCAAACCATCGAACTTAACGTTTGACCATTAGGGCGCGGAATAATCAAGACTGAAAATTTGAAATCATTACGGTAGCTTCGAACACGTACGCGCATCACTATAGGACAAATTCATGCGTGACTCGTCCGAAAACACTACATTTTGCCACTGAGCACACCAGTAAACACGTTTACGGGTCCATTGCTGTCTGAGGTGTTGGTGGTTTCTGGTCAACGGAGTCCGATGCAGTGGTACGCGTGCTTCCAGTCCAGTTCTTAGCAGACGGCGTCGAACCGTCAACGTAGACATGACCACACCAATTGCAGTCGGCCAACAACGACCCCAACACCACTGTGGAAGGCGCCATTCTCTCGGTTACAGCCATGCGGACAAAATGGCGGTCATCTCGCGCTGTGGTCACATTGTGTGGTCCAGTACAGGCTCGTCAAACTGTACGGCCCTCCTGTATCCACTAGTTCAACATACGCATTAGTGTCGTAGCAGCGCGCCCCGTTCGAGCCTCAATGTCAAGGTACAACAAACCTGCTTCCCGGTGACCGATCATAAACTCACTCAGATGCTGATACGATTCGTATTGCACCCTTTAGCGTCAACGGGGTATACCGGCCCTTACTTGCACGTTTCTGCGTCATTTGACTACTCTACACCCACTATGTTTGACACAACATTGACCTGACCTGTCACACAAAAGAAGGCGCTGCTATGCCAACGGGCACGCCATCACAATGCAAATGTAATCACTTCTTACAGATACACTGTTTTTACACATTCCCCGATTTTTTAAGTGATTCTGATCATTCCTTCTGCATGTAGCAATTTTCACCAATACCAGTATAGTAATTTAATATGAATAGTCATTACCGGCATATTACCGTATTTAGAACAGTTATTTAGCAAAATTAAATTATCATATGTTCATATTTGTCATCTTGGCAACATAGTACTATAACCATAACACACTCAAACAGAAGCCGTTTAACAGTATGTGCAGAATGCTAAACACACAGTCTAATTGAACTATTCATAATGTGAGGTTTGGCCATTTAGAGGTAAAGAATCCATAGAATGTACGATTTACATAATTTATAACCCTACAGGTAAGCCACTAAAATATCAATAAAATTTAACCTCCGTATGAAATACTCACTGTACATATTTCTGTATAAAAGCATTATTTTATCTATTTTGTAGCCCTGATGAAGTTCGAATAAATGGTTGAAACGTCGGCAGTTTAAACTGTCCGTTTCCTTTCATTGATTCAAGAACCACTATTTATATGTTTTAAACCTTTTTTTAAACTATCACAACATAACTGATACCTACTTTATTATACCGTCAACTTGCTGCATATACACACGCCCAGACATAATCCTGCCTATTACTAAATTCATTGCTACCACAGAAAAGAAAAGGTTGAGAATTATGTGCTATAATTCACATATTTAAGCATTCTTAATAAGTTTAATATTACGTTTTAAAATCATTCACAGCGTTTAACAATCTCCAATATTCATACAGGAAGAAGGAAACAAGTTTTAACACAATATTGATAATTGACAAATCTTCTTTTATCCACTGCCTTCTAAAGAAGAAACCTGCCTAAAAAGTGGAGAAAATCTGCCTACATCCTATTATATCATACAATGTTCAAAATATTAAAAAACCTTGGCATTAAAAAATATACTATATTAAAATTTAAAATTAGTTGAAAGCTGTAAATTACTGCTAAAATATTAAAAATTTATGGTTTGGGTAAATTAATTAAAATGATTTTGAAAAATTATTATAATTCATTATTTTTTGTTTGCGAGTATTTTATACAATGTGTGACACAAACAATGTTTAAAATGTCACTAATGCCTAAATTTGTTGCTAATGACTGACCTTTGTTGTTTCATAAGTGACCGCAATTTAATAAGTAATTTAAAACATTACGAATTATTTGTATATCGTTTAGTCGTTTTATTCTGTGTTTCAAGTATTTGTAGATTTGTGTAATTGGTTTTATGATTATTTTTGCAGGTTCGGGCGAACTTGGATTTGAGGAATTTTGCACCCTGGCCGCTAGGTTCCTGGTTGAGGAAGATGCTGAGGCCATGCAACAAGAGTTGAGAGAAGCATTCCGTTTGTATGATAAGGAAGGTACGCTTCGTAATTAAAATAATGATAATAACAATTATAATAGTAATAAATATATTAACGGTAATAAACTTGTGATTATTTTTAGGAAATGGTTATATTACAACCACCGTTCTACGAGAAATTCTAAAAGAGCTTGATGACAAAATCTCTAGCCAGGACCTGGATCTCATGATTGAGGAAATTGATTCCGACGGTTCCGGAACCGTGGACTTTGATGGTATGATTTCTTATTTACATTTCTGAAGTTATGCTCTTAATATGAATGTTAGCAATTAAGATATTTTAACAGTTCTAAATGCCTTACGATTACAGAATTTATGGAGGTTATGACTGGAGGAGATTGAACAATTTGCCTCCAAATTCAGCTCTACTGAACGATCTACTCTGAGAAGTTTACGAACCTGTACATGCATCAACAGCTTCAATTTGATATTCTTAAGAATTAATAATACATATCTTAGAAATTGATTACAAATTTCATATGCGTTCATATTACTAGCATCTATTTATTAATTTAGAATAATATATGTTCAATATTAAGTAAATTGTCAACGAGGCATATGAATATGTTTAGACTCTGTACTGTACAGTTATGTATGTAAAAAAGAGCCATGGTAAATATACCTCTTTAAAGTTAACCATAATGCAGGTGTCTAATATTCGCCCACTAAATAGAGTTACTTTAAATTGAAACACGTGGAGAGCACGAAATTAACTGTTAACCTACGTCGCCGATATAATCTATGAAGAAGTTTGACGCAGTTTTGATTTAACGAAGCGCACCCTGACCGGGATAATCTGGGATAAAATATAGGCCATTAGAGTCAAATATAGATCTGCACGCGGCCGAAGCAGCAGCAGCAACAGCAACGCACTCCTCAGGAGAATTCGTAACGTCTAGGTCATCCTGTCGGATTCAAACTTAGCCCGTCGCCGTTGTCAGGGGCAGATAGGGGGAGAAATGCGTGGTCCCACACAATAAGAGCGCCAGGACGGGTGTTCCACAGGGACAAAGGGCGACGTCATTCGATAGAATCCGAGGAAGTAAAATTAGCGAACGTGTGAGTGGGACGCGTGGGGTGGTGCGGGGTGCGGGGTGCGGGGTATGTGGGGAGGGGTGGGGTGGGGTGGGGTGGTGCGTTGCGGGCGCGAGGAAGCCCTAGTGGCGAGTGCCGGGTCGTGCGAGCGGTCAGTTGTAGCGCAGGGGTCGGACGGACACGCGGACGCCAGCGCTCGCTCAACCGCCTCGCTTCTTTCCTGACGCAGCCACCAGCCATCAACCGACGCCATGGTACGTGTGGGGCGCCCGCCGCCGCCACCCCGCTCGCCGCCCGCTTGCGGCCAGAGGGCGCTGGGAGGCGCGCGAACGTGTGTGAACGACCAACGGAGGAGAACGAGGGAGGATTGTTTAAATTGTCGTTTTGTTGGTCTGGCGTTGATGGCAGTTTTTGTGATGTCGAGTGAAAGACGCGATTCTCATCCTGCGAGACAGCATTTGGTTTTACTGAATGAGTTGCGTATGGTGAGAAACAAGACGACGGGATTCCGGTTTTTGTGGTGCTGTTTTCAGGCCTCACCAGTTGCGACTGCAGTTGATGGGGAATGATAGACCTCGGCAAATTAACATCTATTTATTTAGATGACTCAATTCATCGAGCAATATACTTTCAACAAAAAAGATGTTGAAAGAAAATTTGCTTTAAATACCTTGTTACTACCATCATGTGAGCCGTAAGAATGATTCGTTTTGTTGTGCAGTAACGAATAGCCAATACGAGATCTGAACGAGGGAGTTAAAATCGGCTTCGCAGAAAAGAAAATTCAAATATGGAGTCTCAAATATTTTGCAATATCTTCAGAGACTCAAGAAATTAAATTATGAATTTATGTAAGTTCTTATCATTATCATAAAGCCTAATCTAATCTAATCTAATCTAATGCAGTAACTCTAAACTGTGTTGAAAAATAATGTAGACAATTACTGCAATATTTGTGGTATACTCAAGTACTATTTAAGTAATTACACTTAAATAATATAACATGTATAGGATATAAAAGCGCTGCACATAGGAAACTAAAAGCCAATGAGAAAAAGATCTTAAACAACGAACTTACGCATTTAAGTCTCTGCTTATATATGACCATATGAGTTAGGTCAAGTAGTTCAACTCAACTACAGCATATAAAACATTCCCAACTATGTAACTTTCACCATATTTAGATTAATTTCCCGGAAATCGCGGCGTTTCGTACAAAACCTGCGCAACGATTACCATCGCCAAACGCCCTGCCGACCAACCCACGTCCCCGTCCAAGAGGTCCATCGCAAAAACAGCTCCGCGTGGAGGCGACGAGAGGTCCACGTGGCCGCCGGACGAACGAGGGCAGACGTCTCGCACGTGCTCACGGCTGACCGGCAGCGAGGCGCGCAGCCTCCGAACCTGAGGCGGCGGCGGCGGCGGCGGCATGGGGCGTTTGCGGCATGGGGCGGACGTCCAAGAGCAGCGGCCAGCGGCCTCCTGACAGCGCGGAGCAGAAAGAAGAACGGGCCCTCGTTAAAACGCCCTCTGTCCCTCCCAACAGTAAATCCTGGGTTGGAAAATTTACTCCCGTTGTTGCCAAGGCGCTCAGCTGTTTTGAAAGGAAGCTGTAGTACGGTTTGTGAGGCGCTGGCAAGGGGATTTTTGTTTCGCGTGGCTGATTAGGGATTGCACTTACACAAAGAGGGTTTTTTTTCTCCAGAAACACACTTCACAAAATTGCAGAGTACCCGACTGGTATTAAATAAGAATTAATATGAAGTTTCGTATTGCCTATAATATGCAATTTTTGAAGAGGGAAAATATTGAATACTTTTATTCTTATATTGTACGTCATTTTACAACGGTTCTTTTCTCAGGACGAATTTAGCGAGAAAGGACATTCTGTGGATTTAAAGTGACACATGTGAAGATTAAGCGAGTATTTTTTCGTATATAGTGACGAAGATTGTAGTTTTCAAGCTTTAAGGTGCAGTCGATGCATGTCACAAAATGGTAAAGAAGTAGTCTGAATTGTTCAAGAAATGTAGAATTTTACCTACAGATAAAAATACATGAAATGATATTTTTACCTGTTCTTTTGAAAAAAGGAAACTTTCTGTACACTAATAATTTTACACTTTTTAAAATAAAATCCTGCGAGAAAAATTTGTTGAATGCTTTCTCATGAAAATGGACTTGAATTGGTTCATTGAAAAATAAAATTCCAGGATTCAATTTTGTGTGAAAGAAGATATATCGTAATTTCCGCCTCAAAACCCAAATGAGCTACCAAGGCGGATGTCAATTGACCAATATTTTTTAAGTTATAAGGATTGCTAAGGTAGACGTAATATTTCACATTCAAGATTATCTTTTTCTGGCCTTTACGATCTCACTACATTGTTAAGCAAACTCTTTTTTTTACTTCAATTTACTGGCTTCATTTTTTAAACTTTAATTAGTACCTTAAGGTATTTCAGCTCTTGTTTACATATTGTTGGGAAGTAACTGTCGGGAAGTTTTGCACTATGAACTACAGAGAATTTGTTGGCATAAAATGCTTTCATTTATTATTTTGAACTATTTTATTTCTAAATACCTCAGATTTTTAAAAGGTGACGTAAGAGGGCATCCGGGGAAAAAGTCGTTTTGGTGATGGAAGGTCTCGCCCCAAGTCGAAAATTGAGGCCGAAGGGGAAAAATAAAGATAGGAAAAGAAAGCATGAGTTAGGTGAATAATATGCTCACTTAAAATATTTATGTGAAAATACGTAAGTAACTGGGGGTCTGCGGACATACCATGGTGCTCCTACAGCAAACTGCTATTCATTAATTGAAATGATCTCTTTTGGCTTCCAAGAATATTGCGAGAGTATATTAACCCCAAATACAGACACACAGCAGTGGGAAATAACGCAAGACATTTAAGAGTAAATAACATACAGGTTTACGCAAAAGATGTAGGGGGAAAATTCAATAATTCGGAAGATATTCTGAAGACATATTTTTTGTCTTCTAAGTTGAAATTTAAAATAAAAATATTGCTGCATTTCTCAACAATATCATAATAGATAATAAATGAAGCTCGGTGATAGTTAACACAGGAATAATCCATAGGAAAGAGTTAGGTTCATATATGGAATCATTTTACTCAAATTTTACTTTCAAAGTATAAACAAGTTAACTGCTGGGCTCATGTAAGCACAGTTATTTTTATACAAAATTCTAATTTGAAACTGCTAAGTAATAAGTTAAAAGCGGCGTAACAATTCTACATTAGTACAATGAAAACAAGTAATCTCTTTAACAATACTTGATCTCTCTAAATAAAATTCGTCCAAAAATATTGTAGGACAACATATGGTACAAGGTGTGGTTGCCCAGTGGAAAGGAGATACCACAGCAACTTCTGTCCCTGCTCTTGGCAACCATGTAGGATCACCCGCTCTGAGTGTTGAATATACTTGGCGGAGAGCACGACTCAAGACGTTTTTCCATCTTTTATTGTAGCGGCATCTTCGCACATGTTAAAATGCATCTTCGCGCAGGTATTATTAGATTACATAATAATTGATCTCATGTTTCTATGGTGTTGGGAATATTTGATTAACTTGATACAAAATGTAAGGGAATACTTCACAGAATCTCCCAAAAGTGCACGGCCGTCTTTCATATTTTAATTTGTGAAACAGAAGCATCAATATATGTAAATAAAACAATTTATTATTTATATTTTGTTAAAATAATTTTTGAGAATTTACAATAAAACCAACTCTTATGAAGACTAAATTATATTCAATATTATAATTGGTTTTCAAATTTATCAAAACCCATGAATTTGTTAATTTAGCAAAACATAAAAAATCTCGCATTCAACGACAAAAATTGCAAATACCAAAAAAATTGAAAAATCCGTATCTATGCAAAATGGTGCGCAACAAACGTTTGAAAATTACAGTTGTAACGAAATCAGTGTCAAATTATAACATTAAATTCTGAATTGCATTTCATACGCGAATCATTTTGCTTTGCTTAAAAATAATATTTGATCTTTGAAAACCTATTTTTACGAAAAAACTAAGATATATTTTTAAGTTTTTCATTATGATTTTCAGATAACAGCATTTTTTAAAAATTAGTAACAAACGTATGTAGTAGTTTTCAATGTTGATTAGTAATACACACCTTTTCTCCATTTCAGGAAGATCTTCCCAAGGAACAGCTTGAGCGTAAGTATTCTCTACCATTTACAACATTAATATTTTTGAAGTTAAAATTATAGCATTTCTTGAAAAATACGTATCCAATTTTATTTGCCGTGAGGCACGTTCAGAACAATTAAAGATTAATAAAATAAGCATGTTTAAGTAATTAAATGTTGTTGATAAGTTTCTCAAAAGACGATTCTTCCTTGCAGTTCTGAAGAAGGCCTTCGATGCCTTCGACCGCGAGAAGAGCGGCTCCATCAGCACAGACATGGTGGGCGAGATCTTGAGGATGTTGGAGCACCCTGTCGATGACGAGATCCTCAAGGAGATCATCCAGGAGGTCGACGCAGACGGTACGGGAGTTTTAACCAAAGATACACGAAGTGCCTTGACCCGCAATATCATCGTTCTTTACATTTAAAAGGCTCAACATGTGTTTAGGTGCAGATCAACTCAATTGTTCAATATATTTGTATTCTTTGGGATCATTGATTGTTCTAAGTAGTATAAACAAGATTAAATAGAAATGAAAGTTAGAAAAAACGATTTATGATTTCAGTTTAGGTTGAGGAAAAATAATTGCAAAAGAAGCATTTCAATTCGATCATAAATAAACGTCTTCCATCTGCAAATATTTGCAGTAAAGTTCTTACCTTACGAAAGGACAGTCCGCCTTCGGATGCAACCCACACGACACCTTCAGTCGCACTCTTCGTTGCGCCACTTGCAACCGGTTGCAGGCGTAACCTGGCGGAAGCTTGCAGAACGTATGATGGCAGTTTGTCTTGACGCCACCAGTGTTCGTGTTCTGAGGACACGCATGCGCAATATTTTTTAAAATGCGTCATGTAACAATCAATTTGCTACCAATAATTTACATTAAGAAAGATGCCTCCATCGAAAATAATTTTGTACCAGAAAGGCCTCCCAATTTCATTAATTTTTTCTAAAGAGTACGTTTTTGATGTTGAACGTTGTTTGAACACTTTGTGAATGGGTAACATATCTTCAGTCTTTTGGGCATTAAATTGTTTATATATTTTGTGGTAGTTATCTGATAAACCTCATATTACAAGTAAGTGTTTTTCAAACAGTTCATTACAAATATATAAGGAAATAAGATACACATGCCCCCTTTATTATCGTTCTCGGAAAATAAATACCTTTTTGAGACAAAAATTCTATCGAGCATCAGTTTAACTAAACGTAGAAAAATCATGCAAACATACACTATATATTCTACTATAAAGTTCATGAATGAATTTGATGTGCAGGTTCCGGCCAGCTGGAGTTTGAGGAGTTCTGTGACTTGGCTGGCAGGTTCTTGATTGAGGAGGACGCTGAAGCTATGCAGGAAGAGCTCCGAGAGGCCTTCCGATTGTATGACAAGGAAGGTAAGTTCGCATTCGAAGCGGCTAAAGGAACATTTTAGTCTTAGTTTTCCTTTGTTTTAAATGGAATATATTTTTGTACAACTGATAAATTATATTTTATTGTATTGATAATATTTAGGTCCGTTAGGATATATGTCAGGAACTTCTTGAGCATGTAAAGGACACCGTATATGAACGCTTTTTGCCAAATGAATATGTGGTGAGAAATTTGATATGTATTAGTACTTAACACAGAGGTAAGGTCTATAAAATTATTTTTGACAATCACCTTTTTAATTGATTGTATTTCATTATTTAGTATGACTTTTCGGAAGAATTTTTTACACTTTCAGATAAATTCACAATTTTTGCCTTAAAAATGAAAAACTTCTCGGCGCCAAGCTTCGCTAATGGTGCAGATATCCATAGAGATTCAATACTCGATCATGAGTAGGTCGTCATCTTTGTTCTTTCCAATCTAGACGAGGGTGAATTTTGAGCGGGACGAGAACGAATTTAGAATGTTGAATTTCGAACAAAAAGGATATCTGCCCCACAAGCAGACCATGACACCGAGAATTTCTGTTCTTCTATAAGGCTAAAATTGTGAATTTATCTGAAGGAGGCAAACATTCTTCCAAAACGTCATGTTAAATGAATTGAAATAAGGTCGTCATCATCATCATCAGCAACAAGGTTTGGGCCTAGTGGCCCGTTCCGCTCTCGAGAGTCTCTTTCCATCTTGTGTGAGGTCTGCCTCTGAATCGTTTCCCCTTTGGTTTGTATTCGAGGATAGTCTTGGGAAGCCGTTCTTGTGGCATTCTTGAAATAAGGTATTTGTCAAAAATACTTTTTGGACTTTACCTCTACGTTAGGTACTAATACATAACAGAATGACCACCTATACCTTGCAAAATATATAATAAACTTAATACGCGTAAGTTACGCACGTGACTTCGGCCCTGATAGGTTGACAACTCGTAATGCATTGCTGTTCGGCAGATGTTAGGAATCTCTTTGACTGCGTCAGAACGTGATATGGTACACATCATTACAGATATATATTTTAATAATATTGTCCATGCAGTAAAATATAACTCGTAAGAGCAGAATATCACCCGGGTTAATGTACGACTACTTGATTTTTCATATAAAATTATAAATACTATATAACTATTCCTGTATACTTAATATCGAACAACAATTGATGATAAAAAGTAGCGCTTTTATTACTCTTCGTAATGCGAGAGCACAAGAAAAAAATATAACTTAATGAAGAGATTTATTGTATTCTGAATATAGAAGTAACTTGTTTTGTCCTACCCTACAGGAAACGGGTACATCTCCACAAACGTGCTGCGTGAAATTCTGAGGGAGTTGGACGACAAAGTCACCAATGAGGATCTGGATATGATGATTGAGGAAATCGACTCTGACGGCTCCGGCACCGTTGACTTCGATGGTGAATATTCCTCTTCAATAATTCTAGTTTGATTTAAAGTTAGAAACAATGTTTACAATCAAATATTTACGAAATGTCTGAGTAAGTAGTAGAGATGTATTTAATATATATAAATTTCGCTAGTCAAAATTGGGGCTACCATGACGTGAACGGTGCATCTGCACTGCTCTATCAAAATCTTTCATGTAAATTATTTCTTAGACATATTGAGGGATATACTACATTGCCAATAAGAATGTCAATGATAATAAATAAGTAACTTTGAAAAACACAGGGAATCAAAACTTCTGAAATAAAGTAAACCATAAGTAATGCTTTTTAATCCTATTTAAGAAATTAATTTCAGATCAATGAAAGCTAAGAATTGAGGAATATGCTTCTTATGTGTATCAATAGCTTGTCTGCAATATTTATGGGTTACCTGAATTCAATGATTTCTTCTTCAAACGGTCAAAATGTTTCTGAAGATAGAAATTTCCATTGAGAGCTTTTTCTCAAAACTATTCTTCCTAGTATTATTTTTTTTTTACATTTTCTATTTCTGATTGTTTCAGAATTCATGGAGGTCATGACTGGTGGAGACTAAAGGCTAAGAATCGAGGCCCAATGGAGAGAGAATGAAAACCGAGAAGAGTCTGCTTTTGTTGTGTACCATCATGATAAGAAGACAGAACAACTTTACCAAAAATTACTATAAGATTTGTACAAATATATACCACAATGAGCATTCACGTTAAATGTTTATTTGAATATTTTACGAACAATAAATAAAATTGTTCACATTACAATAGTAAAGTCTTATTTTTAATTCCCAATAACAATAATAAAGTTGAAAAAGTGGAATAAAAAGAAAAAAAGTTGCAGAAAGAAGGATAGAAAGAGAGAGAGAGAGAGAGAGAGAGAGAGAGAGAGAGAGAGAGAGAGAGAGAGAGAGAGAAATTCAATAACAAGTAAGAAGTTTGGAGACTACATTGTAATTAAAAATTCAAGAAGAACTGAAAAATATTTTAATTATCCAAAATTAAATTTAATATACAAAGTTTTCTGAAATATATCATTTAAAATTAGTTGATAAACTTATACAACTCAAATACTTAATTATTACTGAATATTCTTTAGATCATGACTTGTTTTACTGTCAATCTTTTTTCCCCTTTTCAAGTATTGCAATTTTATCTGCAAAATTAAATTGCATTCCATGATTACTCATCGTAGCAATGAAAAATCTAAAGATTCAATGATGGAAAGTTAATTCATTGTTGCCTCTTGAATGTCAATCTTGACTTTCGCAGAAATTGTATGCTTGCAGCCAATATAGACTGGACAAGGTGGAGATTTTTTCTCACGTGGAATTAATAGATGATTATATAACAAGTTTGGTTTCAAATTATGTAAATGCAACCTTTCAATATTCGTACTGAATATGATTTTTTAACAAACGATTCCAAGGGGAACAAATTTTCTTGTAATTATTGAAGCATTCGTATATTTGAAAGTATAATTAATTGGAGATTTATATAACCGGATATTTATAACCGGATATTTATATCCAAAACATGATGTCATGGAAATAATTCGCATGTCTAATCCGTTCTTTCTAACTTCTTTTTCGGTGAACGAAACTGTGCAGATCTTGGAAAGTCAAGATCCGTCGTTTCCTTAGTTTACATATTTTCAAAGCAATTTTCAAATTTTATTCTTAACACAATTCAAAAATGAATAATAACTGTGTTGAACAAAATTTTTCTATTGAAATGTTTAATTTTATTCATATTTATATTGATAAAAATTCATTAAAAAGTCTTCTTTATTTACTGTAGTACGGTTTTTTGTACTCGTATCAAATAAAAACAAGTAAATTCCTAGTCTAGCTATTTTAAAACATGATTCCGTGTCATGGCCTTGGCTTATTCATTAAAACTTCCGTGAAATTTCTATCATAATGAACCTCTTTCCACCCACTATAAGATTAAATTTGATATTTTCCTTTCATAATGACTAGCAGTAAATGATCTGCAGAGACAATACAACAAGGCTAAGATTTGCATCAACATTCTTTACGTAAATATGCAATACTTTAAACGTAACCAAACACTGGATTTTATTGATAAATACATGAGGTGGAAGCAGCACAAGTGTGAGAAAATTGTGTGTACGCTGTTTCAACAAGAGAATAACACTACACTGGATGACGGAGATTTTATGCACTGAGTGAAGGGCAAAAGAAACATGTTCCTCCCAGTAATATCCCTCTCCCTCTTACTTTACCTTTCCTCTCTTGCCGGCATTACCAAGCGGCATTGAAGCAAATATCAATTGAAAAACACGCCAGGCTGCTCCTCTTAATGTTAACAATAAATACTCTCTTTGCAGTTTTAGTCTTAGAAGCATACATTACAGAAAAAAGTGTTTTTATTTGTAACTTTCCAGTTTCCAGCCTGTTCGTCACCAGAACTCTGTGCACATTTCAGAAGATTCGAAACCCCAACTGTTGTAGCCGCAAGGGTTTATTAGCATCATCTGCTATCAGCAAATGGACTGAAATCCTGACAACTGGGTGGCGGGATCTGTGTTCTAAAAAAAATTGGACGTGATCCCTGAGTCGCAAGCAATAAAGAACAATCGTTTCATCGTTTGCCTAAAAATTTAATTTTTTTCTTCGGCAATTACATTTCTTCAGGGCTTTGACTCATTTTAAGCAATACCTTTTGGATATTGCTTTGGACAAAGACTTTCAGGCAGTAAAATGACACAAGAAACTTTGGTTCACATACATGCAGAGAAGATGGTGGAATTTGTTTCGCATAAATGACTGAATCTTTATTTTTAGCTCTGTTTCGATATATCTACCGTCCTCTTTCTTCCTCCCTCTCCCCCTCCCCACTCCCCCCTCTCTCTCCCCGCGTCTTTCACTCTCACCCTCTCCTTACCCCTCTTTCTCTCCTTACCCCTCTTTCTCTCCTTACCCCTCTTTCTCTCCTTACCCCTCTTTCTCTCCTTACACCTCTTTCTCTCCTTACACCTCTTTCTCTCCTTACACCTCTTTCTCTCCTTACCCCTCTTTCTCTACTTCTTTTTTCTTTCTGCGAAAAAGTAATACATATGAGAAGGCTCAGGACACTTGGTTTCTCACAAGTCGCAATGTCTTTAAGCTTCACAAAAGTTTTTGATTAGGGATGAAGAGAAAAGTGACTAATAAATACGCCAAATCCACAATCAAGGCAGCTGCTCTGACTAACGCAATGGATATTGAAAGGGTGATACTGAAATAGTAATTTTGCTCATTTAGCTGAAAATCTAAGGTAGTTCAATAGGGTAATAAAATAATTATGTAGCAATATCATGTAAGGGCAGGAAGGTTATGTAACATTCGTACACCATAGACACTAATAGTACAAGAGTAAGATGAAACATCATTTATTCACAGTCATCACATGGCGGTTTCTGTGATAGAACATACAAGTACTTACTACCCTTTACAAAAATGGTCTTGACGATACGTCGAACTGGCAGACTCGTAGACATCCCAGAGCATGACTGAACCCGAACACGCGTGACAGGACACACATGACTGATCGGTATAGTGTAGTTAGTTTTCGTAAGCAACACTTTGCGAGACGCAAGTTGGTTTGAGCACAGAAACTGAGGTCACGATATCACTCGGCACAGTGTCGTGCGGCATAGTTCACAGTTTAAAGCACGTAAAACTGAAAGACAATAATACGAACAATATACTTAGGCGATTAACGCACTATTGATGGAATTTTTTAGAGATACGCACCATGTGCAATTGTCGTGATTAAACATAACTTCTAAATTGAACAAATAAAGTAAATGTTTCATGGCGAGTGGCACATCTGCGCACCACCGAATGTTATTCTACTCTACAACCTCGCTGTCACGGGAATGCGCAGAAGCAAGTGGTTTGTGAGTAGAGGTGCGGGCTAATCGCGTATCCAAATGAGAGTAAACAAAGTTACGAAAGTACGGAAGTTACGAAAACTCAAATCGTCACAAGCACGAAAAAAAACAGTGAGATATTCGCCGAAATCCGGCGTACTGATACGTGGCGAGTAGAACCTGGGCTGAAATATGAAGTTCTACGTGCTATAAATGCTCCGTGAAATTCAACTTTTGAGATGAAAGTGCGAAAATACATTTACGTATCATTTACTCCATTTCGTCACCCTCTTGTTAGTTGAATTGAAATACAAGAAAATCATAAAAGAATGAAACCTGTATTGTACGTTCATTTTCGTTGAAACATTTGGGGATGTTTTTTAACCTTAAAGGGTTAAGGTTTATTTCTGAAATTGTGCAATTTAGAGATCATTTTCAGAAAAGTAGCTTTCAGTTTACAAAGAACTTTTCAAATCAGATTTTCAAATCGTAAGAAATCATTTTAAGCAGTTTTTATCATAAATGTAATAATGTCCGTAATATAAATATTAACAACATGAGTGATGTACAAAAACATTTGTGTTGGTTTGTACATTTGTGTAATTTTTGAAAATAAAAAAAGCGTACAACAAACTGGAGTTTTTGTCATGTTCTTGGGTGGATTCAGCACTATCTGTAGAGAATTTACGGAAAAATATTGAAAGACTTTTTAGAACATTTTGTTCTTATATATTATTAATATTGCTTAAATTTCTCTCAAAATATGCAAATTGTAATATATAATTGTAATATTTTAAGGTGTAACATTAATAATAGAACTAAACGTGAATAATAAATTTTAATTGAAGAAAACAATCTGCATTTTTAGATTTGTAGCTGTAGGAAGACGCGGAAAAGATTTCAAATTTAGACAATTTTCGAAAATTCAATGGTGAAAATTAAACCTAATAGTGTACAGTATTATGTCATCTTAATGATTATTTCACTCCCTTCTTTCAAAAAATTTAAAGAAATAAATTAGATTCATTGAGAGAGGTAATATTAAAAATGTCACAGAGACTTCACGTTAAGTACCCCCGTTATTACCCCCGTTAATTACCCCCGAGTTAACGTTTCAAAATCGAAGGCTTCCAGCGAATTCAGTTTGACTGATGAATATTATTTTTTCAGTAAACTTTCTACTTGTAATTTAGACGATAGTTTTGTTCACAGACGATCGAACGGTCGGTTAAAAGAAAAAAAACAATTTTTTGGAATGAGTGGAACCCAAAGCGTGTATTTCTATTGAAATATCGAAATCGATTTTCGGCAGCATTACATAACTTTCTTTATTCACAGTACATTACTCCATATATACGTACGCGTACGAGAAAGTAAACCCGTCCACATGAACGTTTTGACTAGGTTCTAAGGCTGCGAAACAATCAGCTGATGGCACCCCGCCATGTCAGCTTCTCACTGCCAATGTCAACTATTGTCACATGCGTTGCTGACGCTATCACAACGCACTTTTGAATGGAGTGAACTTGAACTTTGCTGCAATACCCATTTTTGACGCCTACATCAACTGCTACATTGTACACAAACATGTGTGACATATACAGGAAATATACATGAAATATATTTGCGTCCTATACATATCAGCACAAACTACAAAAAACACACAGAATGAGATGTGTACTGTATGGAGATATGTTTCCGAACAGACATCGTCATATAGAAATGTGCCGACGAAGCAAACTCTTGAGCAGTGAAGTAATTTGTATGAATTCATTCGTGTTTCTGACAACTCAAGTGTATTTTAAAAAATAAATTTTCTTGCATAATTATGCTACCAAGAGTATCAGTATCAATTGTTACTTCGACACGCGGATCCTATAAATGCTATAAGCAACTCGCACAAAACTCATTCACTATGTACGCGTTCAAAATTATATTTTAGGGGAAAAATAAACATAAAAATAATAAATTGTAAGTAATGTCGGCTTCTTGCTGAGATACATTAAAAATAAAAAAGTTTACCTGGAGAAATGTGTAAGTTTTGGGTAACTGCAAATATTAAAAATTTATTCAACGTATTAGTGTTAACTTATATTAACTTCAATGATCGTCAGTTAAAAAGGGTGGAAAAATATACTGTCATATTTTTCGAATTGCATTACGCGAGATTAGTTCGAAAGTACGTTAACTGATACTTCCATTAAAAACATTGCCGAAACGAAATAATCTTACGTAATATTCACACAAGGAAAGATAAACAACTGACGAACTGCAGCACAGAGAGAGATAGCAAAGATACCTGGAGAGTCAGTGGGGCAACCCCGCGTTCATCACGTGCGAGGGTGGGAGGATTTACCGTGACCCGTGAGTTCACAAGCATGACTCATGTCACCTTACTACTCATTGTCGAAAGTAATATTAGAGTAGCTACTAAGTCGTTGGTGCAGATGGAGTTCTGAAGTCAGTACTCGTTGTAGACCGTCGTTAGTGGTGGACAATCACGCCTGCATCGAACCATCGGTAACATGGTAAGTTTGATTGCATTAAAATGTACAAACTCCTTTTAATGATTCATACTGTTTCCCCCTAAAATATTGGACAGCTTCCGAAAAATATCTTCAAATTTCATAATTGTGAACGCGGGCAGTGAAATTTCGTTTTTCGCTTCAGGACATTGCGCGGACATAAGTAGGTGGTCAATGTTTCAAATTATAATTGTTGGATCAATAGTGTTAAATCATATAAATAATACTAAAACATTTAGAAATATTTAAACTGCACGTTTAGTAAATTTGTGTTCAGCTTTAATTACAAATAAATACATCATTTGCTTCTGAAGATTAAGTATGGTTTGGCAACATCACCAGGAAAACTGTCGTCTTTAAGTGTAATGTTTCGTATCTAAGTCCATTAGGGGCAAGGGAATAACGCCATACACATTATAAATAAGAAGCAAAGTTCTCAAATGCACGTTTTGAAAGCGGAACTTTCCTCATAAGTAGTTTTCAACAATCCAATTAAAATCATATAAATGTAGATAAATGTGTGTTTATTAAGTATTGTTATTTTTAGATTATACAGCGAAGAATTAAATGATCTGAAGTATTAAACTCCTCTCCCAACAAACTTATGTTGAATTTTTACTTAAATTTTTCATTCTTTTGCAGGATGAACTCGATCAGGAACAAATTGCTCGTAAGTAAAAAAGCACAAGTTTGTCAAATGTAAGAGTTTATTAACAGAATCAAATATTTGTTTTCTTGTTTGATTTGGGATTAAAAATCAACATCAATTAAAAAACGGATTCTCTCTGTTATAGTTATCACATCTTCCAAATAATAAATGATTATCTACATTTGCAATTAATAAGTTTGAGTACATTTGTTAGTAAATACAAGTACTGAGTACCCAATAAATAATAATTAATATAATATGAAATTTATAATGCAAAAAAATAGAAGTTTATGTATCAAGGCTGTGAAGTAGTACTTTTTCGAGCGAGGTAGATAATATTCCGAGATCGATAAAATCACTTCGCGGTCACGGAGAATACAATTGGTTTTTGGTACACTCTCTACTGGCTCTCATTATGTGGTTGACAGAAAAAGAGATAAAGTGAAAATTCAGTTCATTCAGTTATCTCTGATCTTGAAACCTGAATAAAACACCTCATTATTTTCCTGTAAGGTGAGTTAAGAGAGTTAACTATTTTTCCTAATTACCACAGAATTTACTTAGTTTACAATTGTCTTCAAAATGAAGAAAGCTTCGTACCGAGAATTTGCTCCAATATTCTCTTAAGCCACAGTGGCAAAGGATCTAACACACGTTTTTCAGTTCTCAGTTTTGTTTATCCGGGTAATCATTTAGTGTTTGAGTACTGTGTTGCTTTCTTTTGCCTATGCCGATAGGTTTTTCCGTGTACTCTGTACTTGCAAGTTAGTTTGTTCTATATATCATACATTAAATACAATATCAGGGATGTCTGGGCAATTTAGTTGTATATGAATCAAACTTGTTTGCTTTTGGAAGAATAATTAACTACCCAAGGGACAGCTTCGCTCCGCCTCTTGTGGAGTAAACCACAAAAACGTTTATTGGTCTACGCCATAAAATTTCAATTTTACAGACGAAAAATAGTTCGTAAAAATTAGCTTAAGAAGTGTGTGTAAAAAATATATTATTTACTTGTTTCATGTAAAGTAAGAAATTAATGACTTGAATGGTATTTAACGAACATTTTTTAACAGTTTTGAAGAAAGCGTTTGAAGCTTTTGATCGAGAGAAAACTGGATCCATCAGTACTGACATGGTGGGAGAAATCTTGCGGATGTTGGAACATCCTGTTGATGATGATATTTTACAAGAAATTCTTAATGAAGTTGATGCAGATGGTATGTATGCGTTTGTCATTGTTACTCGATACCCAAGTAATTTATTTTTTGACAGGAGTTTACACATGGTACCGCGGATAACATGTTGGCTTATGATGCCCGTTCATGTATGTAACAGACGCGTTTCGTTCTGAAGAAATATTTGCGGTTGAATTTTATTCTATTAAAATATACTAGGAATATTTTATAAAATTTTTATCGTATTGTAATGAATAGTAAGCAAATTTCTTTGCAGAATTTGTAAACCAACAATTAGTCATTTAATACATGACATTATTTGTAAAATTATTTTCAGGATCTGGAGAGCTCGAGTTTGAAGAGTTCGTAATGTTAGCTGCTCGATTTTTGGTAGATGAAGAAGACGCAGAAGCAATGCAACAAGAGCTTCGTGAAGCATTCCGTTTATACGACAAGGAAGGTGGTGTTTTCTTTTACTTTTTATATTTCGATGCTTCATTTTGAAGCATTACGTATAATATGGGTCATCATTTAATATGCTCAACATTTTTTTTATTAAATTTAGGAAATGGCTACATCACGACAACTGTTCTAAGAGAGATTTTAAAGGAATTGGATGATAAAATCACCAGCGAAGAATTAGACATGATGATTGAGGAGATTGATTCAGATGGATCTGGCACTGTTGATTTCGATGGTAAGATTATGAATTTGAAATTGCTATACACCAAAGAAATTAACAACAAGCAGAACAAAAACAAAATAATAATAAAAAATGAAAAATAATACTAAATAATAAAATAATAAATAATAAAAATAAATAATAAAAAATAATAAATAGTATTAAGTCTGCCCTGTGACGCAGACGGTTCCACCAGCCGTCGTCTGCGCCGAGGAGGCTGCATGTTCGAGTCCTGAATAGACATGGTCCTATTTGTGACTGTCCCTTTACCCCTCATTTTCATCCTGTCATCTCCTAATTCACGCTGCAAGGCGAAACAACCTTGCCGTATTTCGGGATACAGTTGCACAGGTTATCCCGAAAAAATTACACACATTAATCAAGACCGTGTCAGTAATGACCTATACAATTGTAATTATAATAATAATAATAATAATAATAATAATAATAATAATCAAGGGATTAATATAAATAAGAACAGTTTCGCCTGTCTATTATTAGATACATTGAAACTATCATCGTTATTTGCAACGTGTGACGAGGCTATTTGTAACACCAAGAGGTTATGCTACGCATGTGGGGGATCCACGTGGTGATCGGGCAACGTGCCCACTCGTAAAATGTGTCAGGTTGGCGTAATGCCGGACAATTCTACTCAACGTCGCTACGCCCTATTTCTGCGTGAATGCAGGCTGCGTCCACAAGATGCCTCTTTTCATTCAATTTTACGCATGAGAAAGCGTACTACCGCTCGTGTTCGTGTTTCCGGCACGTGCTTTTTTTTTTTTTTTTTTTTTTTTTTTGAAAAGATTCATGCAATGCACACCGCTTCTCACTGCAGGTGGGGATTTAATGAATTTGACCCTGCTTTTTCTTCAAAGATCAAATCTAGTTCGATCTTCAAAGCTCATTAATTTTTGGTGCTATTTTAATTATGTTTTTTAAGGACCGGAGTGACCAGACCGGACCGGACCGTCTTATGATGCTTCCCAGTCTTGAGGTGGTCTTTTTTAGACAAAAGAATAGCTCGTAATTTAAGATTACTAGATCACAGAAAATTGAATTATGTTGTTTCTTTACTGCTGCACTGGCAAAAGTTGTGAATTGAAACTGTGCATTTTGATGTAAAACTCAAGTAAACGTGTTAGATTTTTTCTTCATATCCACATCTAAGAAGAATATAACTAATATGAGTCGATTCTTTTAAAAACTGATATTAAAAAAGTGATTTCCTTTAATACAGGTTGGACATTTGAATTTTACTTTACGATTCTCAATTACAGAAAATAATACTGAATATTTACTTTATGAAAATGTAGATAGAAATGTTAAAAAGCTTGTCTTACAAAATAAAATTTGTTTTTTTTTTTCCAGAATTTATGGAAGTAATGACTGGAGGAGATTAAATCTGGATAATTACAGTCTCATCCAACATTTATGGTTTTCAAATCATTTTCAGTTATTTCTAAGTATATTTCTTAACAAATGTGGTAAAAAGCTCTCAACGCCATTTCTTATTAAAGGAACTGGAGACTATCAATATGTGCGGCGTGAAATAAAAATATCCTTTGGTACTATGTGTGTTTCTCTTAACGTTTTTACAAAGAAGAAGGTTCGCAGAACTTTCATCCTTATCCTTCTGTCTTATCTTTTAGTGTCTGTTTCTCCCAGATCATCAGCTGTCAAGGTCAGCACCAGCCCACGAAAACTATATCATAAACATCAATTATATGTTTGTTTTTATCTTAAAGTAATTTCTGTGGCATTTAAAGTATGATAAAAAGGAACAAAAATTGTTTAAATTCACAATAATCACTTAAATAACTACAACAGAACGAGGCAGAGTCATGTTTGAACATTGCTTCATGATGCATATTCTTGTGTGGATCTATATAAAATAAAATATACATTCAATAAATGTATTATTTCGAAAAGGAAATATTTAATTTTTAATTGCAATGACTTTTTACCATAATAAAACAGACTTAGTATTTGAACAATATATTGCAATAAAATAAAGATGATAACAGACGTAAATATATTCATTATAATTTAAATTTTCATTAAAATTGTAAATATTGCTGGAAGTTAGACTATAACATTATAATATGTGCCAAGAATTAGTTTTGATTCTTAAGCTTCTCCATTCAGGAATACAATATTCTCTCTTAAAAAATGCGCTAAGGAAACAATTTAATGCATATATATTTTAAGATGGACAGTTCGACTTATAAATGGAGGTGAACAGTTGCCAAATGTTTAACGAACAAACGGTTTCACTGTTCCATTAGCGTTCCAAACTTCCTGCCAGGTTCCCATTTCTTTGCGAGTTTTACATGTGTAAATATCAAACAAAATGGTGTAATTAATACTGTTCAAAATGTTAAAACCGTCTAAGCAATGTAAAATACTTGTCTAGCTTTTGAGAAACTTGTAACACCATTAAATAACGGTGGTTAATTGAATAAAGGAAAATACAAAGCACTCCGAAAATAACATGTTTGTTCCAACTAATTGTGAGGTTAACCTTGTTGAAAATACCTTGAAAGACAAGTTTATATACCGTTTCTTGACTTCCCGCCCATCTCCATCAAAATACTATTTCGAGTATTCGCTAATAAAGAAAATGAAAAATTCCCCAATGTCAACTAGAAGAATAATGAACAATGGCCACATGATATACCACAAAAGCTCATATTATAAAAAGAAAGAATAAAATATACAAAAATCACAACTCCAAGAACAATAAACTTTACAAAACATAAGATAAATATCAATCTTAGTAGTAAATGAACCCACACATTTTGTTGGAGATTTATTTAGGTAAAAGTGACGCAGTCGTATTTGTATAGTACATACAAACAGGTACATACTGTTCTCTCTTTTGAAGTCACTGTGAAATTTAAATGCTGTCCAATATCAAGGTTGATACGTACGTAGAAACATGAAAATATTTGTTTCTTCTCTGTCGTACTAACGTATTTTATGCTAAATGCCGATCACCTCAATATGACTTTTATGCTATCATTTACTTGCTTTCGAAAGAATAACTTTGGAGTTAAAATCAGTGGTATAGTTTTGAAAGCTGTTGAAGATATCCCGGAAGGCCCCTAAAAGGACAAATCTCAGCCCAGACAAACATGCGGGGGAGAGTGTTTGGACGCGTTCTTCTGGCCACGCGGCAACGGACTAGTGGCACGCTGCCGCGAGCTCTCATTGCCAGCTGTTCTCCACGCCAAGCCCATTTTTTTCAGCCGACTTCGCGCCGCACCGTATGCCTGTGCGCCAAAGCGAAGTAGTGTCGTCACTGTCACTACAATTTTCAACGCCCCGCTCCCACAATCGTTGTCTTCATTGTAACAGCTTTTTTTTAAAACAGGGACCATTTTGGCAGTTTCTCTCGAACAAAAATTCGTAATTAAGTCTGGGAATGTGTACATTTGAACTATCAGTTCCAAGGCAAGGCAACTTAATTAACATATTACGTATTTTTTAAATGTATTATTTAAAGGGCAGATTTAAGTAGCACCTAACAGTACTGAATATAAAATTACACATTAAGGAACTGACGTAAAAGAAATAAATATGAAAACTGTACCTTGAGTATATGTTATTCAATCAATTGGAAAAAAATGTAAGCTAATTCATCAATTACACATATTTCCTCTTGACTTCGCACTTGTGTCATGTTTTAATCTCGAAATCTGAAACTTTACTACCATTCGTTTTTCAAACTGTGTTCAACCATTTAACATTCCTGACATTTCAGATAGAATGATTCTCAAATTCAACGAATATACCCTTATGGCTTGGTGATTTAAAGAACGTTACATTAGGAAAAAGGAACTTTGGATTCATGTGCTTCATGAAGTCGAGCTAATAAATTTAACACGAAAAAATGCCCCATGTTCCTTCCCACATTTATGCCTACATAGGCCCACATGATACCTTGCCATCATTCCTGAATCTCCCATAGCATCTCAGGATGGTTATTGCCGAATTCATTTGTCGACAATGCACTGCGACGGAAAAGAGGCTGCGCAACAGGCCGTAAAGATGATCAATGCGAAAACATGGCTGGGTAATTTTAATCACGATGAATGTGATGTAATCGATTTTATACGATTCATTAAAATATTGAAATTATATACTGATTATTCTCCATCAAGATTCATTTTTCCGATTATTTAGCTCGATTATTCAAATCAAAATATTAATATTCAAGATGAAATAGAAAATAGCTCTCAATACTCAAACGTAAGCTACGAAATTAATTGTCTATCTCTCCCATCTCGGAATATAATAGAGACAAACTACTGATTTATTTCATGTTAACAACACTGATATAATTAAAGATATTATGTATATCCTGATAATTTAGGTATGGCAAACTCTGAATGAGAAAAAGAAAAACAGATTCTCTGAAACTCTTCTGAACCGAGTACACCATTAGAATATAAATATTGATGATTTTAATGTTAGTTAATGGAATCGATTTTTGTAATGTCATGAAAAGAATAGCTAAAATTAAATTAGAAAAAAATTAAATTAAATTAAACCAAGCAAAACAGTGGCAATGATTGACATTTTCTCAATGTTTTCTTAAATGAATTGTCTAATAATTCAAATTGTGTTTTAGTTCGATTTAATATCGAATGTACGAGTACAAAGAAAACTTAATGAGTTTCATGTTTCATATACTTTTTACTACGGTGAATAATTAATGGATAAAATGAGATACTCGATTAAGTCAGAACAATTAATCAAAGCATACTAATCAAATAATGAAATTATATATTAATCGATTTTATAATAACCCATGTCTAGGGCAAAAGCCCGACCAAGAGGGTGTAGGAATAATGAGTCTGCAGACGAAACAGCGCAATATCAGGGGGCTGAGGGACGAAACTTAACATAGATGACTGAAGCAAAGCGACCTAAAGAAGAGGCCAGAGCATCCAGCAACCACACCGATAGATGACAGCAGCGGCCATCAGAGGGAAATATTACGAGTGGAGAAAAGTCACCAGCAACGAGAGTTGAAGGGGAATGTGCGGAGAAGATTAGAGGTGGCGAGTGGGGCGGTTGAATGAAGAAGAGACGGTGACGGGGCGGAGACGATGGAGGTGGCGACGGAGAAGGCGCGATGGCTGGGTCAAGTGGTGGGGTTGCAGGGCAGGTGCGGCGGGGGGGCGCGCGCAGGCGGCGGAGCAAGGGATGGGATGGGCGGAAGCGGAGGGCGAATGGATGAAGGTCGATGGCTGGGAGGGTCGAGAATGGGAAGGGAGCGGCAGCGCTTGGTGGCGCGGTTGGCAGCAGCGTGGGTGGGGGGCCACGACGAGGGTGGGTGTCTGAGCAGTTGCGGGGGCGGGGGATGGCGGAAGGGGCGGCACGGCGGAGCGGGGCGGCACGGGGGCGGGCCAGCGGGGGCGGCAGCGGAGGGCGGCAGCGGGGGCGGCAGCGGGGCGGCAGCGGGGCGGCAGCGGGGCGCAGCGGGGGCGGCAGCGGGCGGGCAGCGGGGCGGCAGCGGGGCGGCAGCGGGGCGGCAGCGGGGGCGGCGCGGGGCGCAGCGGGGGGCAGCGGGCGGCAGCGGGGGCGGCAAGCGGGGGCGGCAAGCGGGGGCGGCAGCGGGACGGCACGGGGGCGGGCAGCGGGGGCGGCAGCGGGGACGGCAGCGGGGGCGGCAGCGGGGACGGCAGCGGCAGCGGTGCCGGTAGTCGCAGTGGCGATGGGAGGCGGCGATAGGCATGTAGCGAAGGCGGAGGAGGAATGCGTGCAGGGTCTCCGCATGGGCTGAGGACGCACACGTGCCGCGAGCGAGGACCCAGCATGCTGTTGCGGGGTCGGCGCGCCGGGGCGCCTGGCGGAAAACGGCGCGCTGAGGTTAGCTCGTACGCGCAACAGCGCTGCGCAGCGCGCAAATTTAGCTCAGTCTGGCTCGCCGACTAGTGGAGAGGCGGGAAGTGCGGCGTCCCGGCGCGGCGTGGCAGGCGTGACGCACCAAGAGAGAGGTACCTCTTTGCTGGCCGAACCCGGGATTCTGAATCGTCGCAAACTTCAAACGACAACCACAAGAATCTGATGTTTAGATTCTCGGATCTGAGACCCTTTGAAGTCGCTTTCGCAATAATATATTTTCTAAACAGTCAGTACCGTTCGATATTGATAGTTTTTATTGGCTTTTGGAATTGTAAATCGAAATTTTTAAAATTTCGAATTTTTTTAAGAAATTTCGAAATTGTAACAAATTCCCAAAGTTTTCGAAATTTTTTTGGACTTTTTTTCGAATTCGGGAAACTAAAGAATATAATTATTAACCAGATTGTTGAGAATGTAAAATACATTGCATTCTGTGAGAATCTATCATTAACGTATTACTCTACATTCAGCATGTCAGACAAGAAAA